TACACACAGTACACACGGGACTCCCAAGGACTACGCTGTCTTAGCACAGAGTATATAAACATACGTATACAGACACTTCAGATAAACTGAGAGGGATGGATCCTCCAGGGAAAACTGGAGGGCAGGACAGGGAAGAATCGCGGCTCGGACGAGGTCTGAGAGTGACACTTTCACTGGACCTGCACGGACAGCGGCCCACGAGGGGCCCTTCACCCAGCGGCGGCCATCTCCTCTGGGAGGAGCAGTGAGGACGCATCTGCAAGGCTGGCGGCGGCATCTGCCCGGGAGGCGGGCGGTGGGTGCCAGGAGCTGCTGTTCCTCCCTGCGGGCACCGGATGGAGGCCACCCCACTGCGTCCCGAAGAGCCGGCGGCAGAGTCAGAGCCGGCAGCTCCAGACAGGGTTTGCCTACTAGCCCAGCCGGTCTGAAGTCTGAGTGCCACATTCAAACCTGGCTCTGTCCCTCCGTTATTCTTCCTGGACGAACCGTCTCGCCCTCCCTCCCCACATCAAACATGGACAACTAAGATCTAGTCTCTCCCCTCTGTTCCTTACTGGTAACAGCTGATATTCACCATGTGTGTCATAGACAGAGGTATTTTACCAAGTACCTTACGTATATGAACTCTTAACTCCCACAGAATTTAATGTAGGTAAGATGATCCCCATTTTCAATACAAAGAAGAGGGATTAGGTTGCCACAGGCCACGAAACTGTATGTGGCGGAGCTGGGGTTCAAGCTTTCGCATCCCGCTCCTCAGAAACGGTGACAACCACCGGCCAGGCTTCCGAGCCTCTCAAGTCACTTACCAAGTGTTGGGAAATGAAATACTGAGCTTCTTAAATATGAGCCACCTCTGCTCAGGCTTCTTGCTATCTTCACTTCAACCTCACACTTTGAGGGTTGAGTGTGTCCAGGTACTTGACAGATAAAGGAGGCAGGGCAGGTCCCAGCTGGTGTAAGAGAGCCAACCCTCACAATGTGACAAACGCGATGACAGGGACAGGGAAGTCTGCATGGACCTGGAGGAGGGCTGTGCCAGGCTCCATGGGGCCAGAGCAGGGACTTTACAAACTGCGTTGGCGGGAGTTAGAAGATTTCAGAGAAAACAAGAATAAGAAACTTCTCTAGAGGCAGGCGCATATGATTAGCATCAGACACAACAACTTCATCGGTCTGGGCATAAAGAACAATCCTGATCTGTTTCATTCCTTAAAAATTCAAATGCCTAAGAGGAAGGAATCTGTAGAATTGAATGTTAAACTAAATATCCTGGATGCTGAACTCAAGCCTGCCCAAGACTGAATACCATCATTCAAACACCCTCTCCTAGGGCTCTGAGGACAAACTGAATGGTAATTCTGGGAAGGCTGGTCACAGTTATAAACTATAAAGAGAAACACGAGGTTCCTACACCATAAAATACAAATTAAAAACACACGGTATTTTTTAACAGGAGCTTCCTGATGGCCGTTGCCCTGACAGGTGAAAATCCCTTTCCCCTGTAGTGTGATTCCACAATCCCGAAGGAAGGGTTAGTGGCTCATGCTGGCCGAGACTGGAAGGCCGAGGGTGAAGAAAACTGAACTGATGGACAAGTAAGAAGCTAAAGAGAACACAGGAAAACTGGGAAAGGAGTCTATTAAGAATCAGGACATAATAACCGATAGTACTGAGGGCATGACATACATCTTTATGTGTATATACACACACACATATATTATTGATTTTTTACAGAGGAAGAGAGAGGGACAGAGAGAAACATCGATGAGAGAGAATCATCGATCAGCTGCCTCCTGCACACCCCCCACTGGAGATGTGCCCGCAACCAAGGCACATGCCCCTGACTGGAATCGAACCCAGGACCTTTCAGTCCGCAGGCCGACGCTCTATCCACTGAGCCACACTGGCCTCGGCGTGACACACATCTTTAAAAACGTCCTCCAACAACCAATGAGCAAAGGAAGGCCAGACACCCTGCTCCAAACAGGCACCTAGCAGCAGCAGAGCAGACTGAGACCACGTGGTGCTTAGCCAGGAGCTGGGAGGAGAGCGCTCAGGAAGCACGAGGGGAAACCCCGGCCTCTCAGATCTCAGGGCCGGACCCTGAACCATAACGTCACTCGTCTTTCTTTGTAGGAGTCCCTCGGCACTGCTTTAAAAGCAGGTTGCACGTTTGAACGGCTGAGCACCAGCAGGGGAGGGGTCAGCAGGGCCCTCCGGAAGAACGGGGAGCAGGAAAGGGGCTCAGTACGTGGTGGCGGAGGAGGGGCACTGAGAGCGGAGACAAGAGGGGGCCGGAGGTGTGCACTGTGGCTCCTCTGTGAGAGGGCTGCCCTATGTGCCAGACGTGACTCCTATGGTTTACACGCAAAGATTTTTGTGACCAAGGGGATGGAGAGAAGTGTGTCAGGAAGAAAAATGAAAATGCTTTCCTAGTGGAAAGAACAATTTAAATAATTTATTCAAACTTCCAAATCTTTTAAAGATGAACTAGTGGCCTGGTGCATGGATTCATGCACATTAAAAGGAAATTAATTAGAAGATTCGTGAGTAATTACATCACTGTATATAAAATAGTATATATAATATAGCATTATAAAATTGAAACATGCGTGTGATTGGCGCCAGCGAGAGCTTTATTTGTATCACATGTGCACGAGTCAACATTTATTTTTAAGTTGCTAATGCGCATATGTACTGGCTGGTCCATCGGATGGACAGACGGATTTACAGTTGGCCACTTGGCCTTTTAATATATCTCTATCTGTATCTATCTATCTATCTATCTATCTATCTATCTATCTATCTATCTAAAGACGATCTCTATGTGGAAATATTGAGTATTTTCAGATAGTAAAATGTACATCAGATTATAACATGAAATACTATTGTACATCAAAAGAGTTCTTTTTTTTATGACACTGTAGAATTAATTAGAATAATTATCTGACTTAAGAATAATAAAATACCAGGTAGTTTCCATTTAGAGTGCAAAGGTGCATACTTTGATATAAATATTTCAGATATAAAAAAATCACTTTAAAAATAAGTTAAAAAATCTAGATCAAGAATTTCCTTTAGTAGAAATATTCTTTTGAATATAGTAATTATATTTAACAAAATGCAAAAATAAAACACTTAAAAGAATTTCCTCTGGTTTATAAAACAGCTATGTACAACATTTAAATTTCAACCAGTTTTATTTCCTAGTTTCTGGAACGACTGAATGTTTAACAGAATAATAAAAATACTTCATGACAAGGATTACTATGCCTTTTAATGTTGCATAAGGAGAATATATATGTTAGGTATTTCTGTAAAGGGAACGAAGAATAAACATTAGGGAACTTCTAAATTATTAAATGTATAGAATTTAGGAGAGAAAATGATAATGCAGTCAATTTATAGTGCAATAGAACACACTAAACTAAAATCACTTTGCACATTAGAAGAAAAATTCTGTCAGCTTTAAAAATTGATTTGTACTCAATTACTATGCTACTAGAAAACCTACAGAAAGATTTAAAATAAAACTTGTCACTTCTTCTGATTATACCACCAGAGGTTTACTTTTAAGTAACAGGGAAATTAAATAGAGTACTGAAAAGGGATGGAGAATGTGACATAGAACTCACCATAAAAAATAAAAATGAGCAGTTATTTATATATATATATAGTTCTGTACATATTGTGACAATAATTAAATAAGTATTCCAGTTTTTAGAACTATTGCAAAGAATGAAAACATACAGATTCTTTGATGGCCAAAGAATTTTTCAAAGTACATTTTAATTATGTTTAATAATGATAAACTCTTCGTTATATTTAAGATAAGAAACAAATTATGACCCCCAAATAAAGTATCAAGTGAAATATTTCTAAAACTGACTACATTAAACAAATTCTTCAAATCAATTCACTGATCTCTTTTACTGAAGGATTCATTGGTTTGAAAATCAGACTTACGTCATCCAAAAAATCAATCAGTGAAGATGAGGAAGAAGAAAAGGAATCCTATTTAACGAATACAGCAATAAAAAAAATAGAAAATATGGATGAAGCAATTTAGTAAGAACAAATAATAAATCAAAAAATTTGTAAAACAATTGAAAGGCAAATGACATTAATTCAAATAAATAAATGAAAAAAGCAATCACTGTCAGTTTCCCAAGAAACTTAGAAATTCATTAATTACTCTTTAAAGAGTGATTCTTTATCCCTTTCCCAAAGAAATGAAATATTGTTCATATACTGTGCCCAAAATGTCACAAAATGAAGCTCTGGGCAAATGGACCATCGGATTCAGTGTAAGTGTGCTCAAGGTGACAATAAACGAGAGAAAATCTCTGTCCTAACAGTTCCCACGGAGTATAACGGAGGAGGTGGGACTCAGCTGCTCACTGTCTCTCGCACTAGAATGGTCCTTTCACAGAGACGTAGGATTACTCGTTAAATAAAGACACCATCACCATCTTGAATTTTCTGAGGCTAAAACATAGTACTTTATAAAGATTTTTCAGCAAAACTTTAAGTACCGAAGAATGATAAAGAGCCATATAATCACCATTTCATTAATATGGAATTGCCTGGCAGACGCTATGTAATCGTTTTTTAAAAAGCATTCCAATTGCATACTCCTAAAAAACTGCATTAATTTGGAACTGGAACCAGCACTGTCCTATAGAGAACTCGGACATTTTCAACTGCTTTTTACTCTAGCCCTACACTTGGGGGAAAGAGAAGAGTCAACATTACTTCAAAAGTCAAGACGTGTTCTGCACTTACTGTTTCTCAGGGGAAGAGATGAAACTGCTTTTAAACCTTTCATGTTTTCTTAAATATAAAAGTGACTGCAGTCTCCATAAGAATGCTTTACAATAGTTAGGAGTCTAGGTCCTCTGATGTGGGATGCAATAACAGTTTATTACAAGCAAAATTTAAATGACAAAGTGACTTTCAAACTGACCCAGAGAAAATGTGAAAAGCTGAGTACTTACTTCAAAGTGATCCAGAGCATCGGTAGGCGTATTCAAAAATGCCAAGAAAGAGTGCTGTGAGTCTCGGTGCTCTACCCCTAGAAGACAGCAGCGACTCTCCTTAAGCTAGAACAAACCGGTTTTCACGGACAGCTGCTCCTGCCCGAGTCTGCTAGGAGCTGTGCGCAAACCACTGTGCTTAAGCAGTCAATATTAACCCTGCACATCTAAAACACCAAGTTACACAACTGTTTTTTGGAATATAATTCACTTAATAGTTAAATTATATCATTCTCCATGAAGCACTTGTTTCTTGACTTGAATTCTTAAATTTCTTTCTTTTCCCATATAGTACATTATTAAAAACACATTACATTTTTTGGTAGATTTGAGAGATTTTTCAATAGAGAGACCTGATTATGTCTGATTTTTCTAAGATAATTTATCACCAAACAAGGTTTCTGTTTTGAAATATTCTTAGCAAACATATAGTATGCATTAACAAATAATCTTTTATAAGAAAACAATGCAGTGATAAAAACAAATGTATTTAGTTATGGAATAAACTTTTGTCAATCTGATTGCAGGTATTGTTTTGCTGACAGAAAGAATGAATATCTCTTGGCTATGGCATTAACTTTAAATGCATAATTTCCAAAATAACCTTTAAAATATACATACATTTATAAATATTAAAAAAGAATAAGTACATATTTTTATTTTCATATTCTCAAGAACTGACATCAACTAATTTGTGTGCTTTTCAGATTACTCTCTAATAATATATTATAGTCCCCAGATAAGGCAGCACGTTCAGAAATTCACTGTCAAATAAATATTTACTGAGAGCTATTATGTGCCGTCCATCTAGACACTGGGGATATAATAGTAAATTAAGCAGAAAAAAAGAACATTGCCCTCATTATGTAAATATTACATAATACTGCTTAAGTAGTATAGTACATTAGTTACAATATACAGTAAAATTTTATTATTCTACAATGTTCAAAATCTAAATAAAAAGTTATAGGCTCACATTTCCAAAACAGAGCAATGTGAAAAATGGAGCTTTTTCTTTCGCGAGTCTGGTCAATTCTAAAAACAATGAGTCCACACCCTCTGTGTGTCACAGTAAGTCGTCCTCTCACTGGTCTTTGTCTATGTAACTGTCTCAGGGCCACGCTCTGCCTTCCTTTCCCTTCCTCTCCGGGGAGTACAGTTCTCTTCTCTTCTCCCTGTCTGAGGAGCTCTGCTTGACTCTCATGTCAGCGTGATGCCTTCCACAGCCGAGCTCCTAATTCACTTTTCTGAGTCCCTGCTCTCCTGTCCACTAGGAAATCCAATCAGCCCACTTTACTGCACATGTACGGCTTTTAGTGCCCTTTCACGCTAACCCCTTTAATGTGATTCCCTTCTCCCACAACTCCACGCAGATGCAGACACCCCACTATTTCACATCAGTGAGTGCCAGGGGCTGGGAAGTGCAGGGAAGCACGCGACATAACACAGAGCCCACTAGCTGGTGGGGTTGGATCAGGAATACTGACTTTGTCAAGAAAACAGATTTCTGTTATTGCGTAGAAGAGACCCTTGTCCTTAAAAGATTCTGAATTTCTTTTTATTAATTTTTTACTTCTGAATGCCCACATTATGGAAAGAAAGTTTAAGATCATGTAAGACAGCTACCAAACACTGTGCTACTTTTCACATTAACAGAAAAAAATGCTCAAATAATTAATGTTTTAAGAAAATGGAAAGGAATCCTGGGAAATTCCTCAGGGCAAGCCATTTAAGAGCCAAACATGGAAGACGATACTAAAATGCCAAAATAATTTTAACTCTGATTTGCTCTCTTAATACTGGATTAGATTAAATGTTAGTTATTTCAGACATTCTTTAACTACTCTGGGAGAAGAATAAAAAGTATAAGATAACTTTTTCCAATCACAAAAATATTATTCATGAAGTAGGCACTGAAAAAATAGTTAAAACTTACGACAGGGTGAGTTCTATTAAAATCAAATCTCTAAACAATGTATATTAAGTAAAACAAAAAGACTGAGTATCTACCAAATATGTGTGTGTGTGTGTGTGTACTGCGCGCGCACGCGCGCACACACACACACACACACACACACACACACACACACTTATCTAAATGGATACCAACAGCCATAAGGGGATGCCAGACTGCTAGGTGAACACCTATCCCATAAGCTGGTCCTTGTGTAACAAACATACATTCATAGCAGAACATTAAGTCCTGATTGATGCAAAAACATGCCATACCCTTTTCGGATCTAAGCTCTTCGGTGTCCTTGATCAGCTGTTCGATTTCTGATAGCAGTTCCAAGTTCTTCTTCTCCGCATCTTTTAGTTTACTTAAATAAGAGGAAAAAAGGGAAATGTCATTATTTTTGCTGTTGGTTAATGAGCCATCATTGGACTGATTTGATTTGAATGCTGTCAGTCATGCTATATTAGGGAAAGGCAAACAGCCAGGAGCAAGTTTAGTGTCATCTACTCTCGCGTGAGTAACGTTTTCCTGGCACACAGCTAGACTCCCTGGTTACACGCTGTTTATGGCGTTCCTGGCACCGCCGCAGAGTTGAGTAGACAGAGACTAGCTGGTCCCAAAATATTTACCATCTGGCTTTTTCTAGAAAAAGTTGCTGACCCGAGTTAAATATTAACCTTTGAAAGGTCATAAAATAAAAAGTTAAATTTTGAATTGTTAGACTTTTTTCATAGAGAACCATGAAAAGAGCATGTATATGTTTATAATTTTCTGCCTGACTCATATTCCTGGTGTATGAACAAACTATGTCCAAGGCAAAAGAAGACACTCAGTTGTTCCACATTACAGCATGAGAGGAACACTCCGTGGCTGTTTCCTTTAACTGCCGACATCTTTGAGGCTCAGTATGGATTCCAGCTGAGGATGGGTGCCCGTCTCCTGCCTGCAGTCCTACGGCCCCCTCAGCCCTCTCCTCGCTGCTCAGCTCAGAGGCGGGCCTGGCCTGTTACTTCCAAGAAAGAAGCAGGAGCTTCCCACACTGACTCCCATCGCTATGGCTGCTGCTGCTTTCTTCCTCTCTCTGCTTGGCTTTCTCTGAGTTCTGAGAGCGGGAGCTGCTTCTTTGGTCCTAACCCACGTTTTCAGGGGTTTGTCCTCCTTGGCGTTCTGGAGGCACAGCCTGAGGTTCAGTTCGGCTTCCCCCACCCTCTCTCCGCCTTCCCAGGGGCGGGGCGCCTGTCCTGTGGGTGCAGTTGGAGGCAGCACACACTGGAGCTGGAGGTGCTCCCACCAAAGGCGATGGCTGAGCTCACTGTATATTTCCTCTGTCAGAATTCCTGACCAAATATTGGAGGTTTCCAAGGATAGTTTTGGATTCTCTTCACTTTAAAAGTGGTTTCTTTGCAGTTTACTCCAGGGAATTAAAGAGAGTGTCTGTCGAGGAAATGGCCGTGAACCTGGGAGGGGAAGCTGGGTGCATCACACTGGCTGGCACTAAAGAAGGGAGGGAGACCTGCAAGGTGTCTCACTCCTCCCCTGCTGCCAGGCCTCTGGCTTCCTGTCTGAGCCCAGAGCTCGGCTGGGGCCAACCAGGTTTCTGCTCTGAAGCAGCCAGTGACCTGGGCCCACGTTTGGACCTGTGTGTGTGTGTGTGTGTGTGTGTGTGTGTGTGATGTTGTTGTTGTTGTTATTGTTCTTTAACTTTAAGCAGGACTTGGCACAAGGCTATTTACATATATTATGATCTTTTCATGGATTTTCATGTTCTTGCTTTGACAGCAAAGAGAACTAACTTTAAGCTCCTACTATGTACCACCCTACTCTCCGCATTTAACATGCAATCCAGATGCCGAACTCTTCCTCTTGATGTGTGTGTGTGTGTGTGTGTGTGGCGTGGAGAGGGGGGGGTTACAGTGATCTGTGCAGGCAACCCTCCTGGTAGCCAGCTGGACCTCTGCACACGGTGCTCTTTGCAGCCCCACCCTCCACACTGACGGGCCGCTGATGGGATAAAAGAAGTTCTAGTCTCACTTCCGGAGTTCTGAGGAAGGCTCCTCAGTTCTTTACTTCAAACCCAGCTCGACGGAGCCCCCGTCCTCCGGCACCTGTCCTGTGGGCGGCCTGCCTGGCTCCCTGGCCAGGCAGAGGCACGGTCCTCAGCTGGAGGCGGCCAGGGGGTGGGGAGGACCAGCCTCTCCTTCACCCTGTGAAAAGCCGCCCCCCCCCCCTCACCCCGCCCTGTTCTCTTCTGACTTAACAGCTTTGTGCTGGGATCTATTCATCTTCTCCAGAAAAAGCGTTTTCTTTTTTCCATTTTCAAGTCACACTAGCACGTTTAAGCAAAGCACTCTTAATTTATGTCTAATTATTTATAACAAGACTTTATCATTCAACGGGGCTGCCATTTATCTGGCCTCTGAGTTTATTCAAAACATTAATGACCACAGTTTAGAGACTAAGGCTTCACACCATCCCACACTGAACTTATGGGGCCATATTTCTTTTCAGGACTGAACCCTTCGGAGCCTCCAAAAGGAATTTTTTAAAATGTTGATTTGTAAGAACTTTTTTATTGTTCCTCTATGTCACCTATGCTAACTTGCTCTTGAACCATGCTTATATCCAATCAATTATGATTTTCACTCGACCATTTATATATCCAGAGTACAAATTTCTCTACTGTTGTCATAAGAACTGAGGGAATGTATTCATTAGCTAATTTTCCCAGAGATTGTGGAGATATACTTGTTTTTATGCCCATAAAAGAAAATGAACAATAATTAAAATATATTATATCATTATGAAATTTACCATCAGCAGAATCTTCATCTGTAAAAGACTTATGGCCAGAATTTTCAGATGACTGTATTTTGTTCTGACTACATGTTGCATTTTTATGTTAATATGATGTTCTTGAACATGAGAGAAGTGAGGAATTAATGAAACAAAGTATGAAATTAAAGTTTACAAATAAGGGGAAGAGTAAATAAATATTAATTGGTACTATTCATTCCACTTTTCGGGCAAGCCCAAGGAAACAAGGCTGTACTAAAATTCCACCACCACATTCAAGGTTTGAGAGCATCTCTTCATGTTCACACCTTCCTAACCACTTCCGGGTCATCATCACTTTAAAGGAGAAGTGACAGGAAACTGAACATGTAACTTCTCTCCAAATACTTTTGGACCGACGAGGAAGCTATTGCAGCAGGACTGTGTTATTCGTCTTACCATTCTGTTATGATGTTCGATGCTTTAACCTTATTCAGCTCTTCTTGGATGGCCTGTTTGGCTCTTATTTCTGCATCCAGAGCTGACTGCAGCTCCAGTCTAGCTGACATATCCAGTTTCGCAAAACGCCGCATTTTCCAGGGCATATCCTAGGAGATAATATGACTGTTTTTAGTTCTGTTCTATTTATTACATTCAAATTTAGTAATCCAAGTCAAGTTGGAAACTACTTAAAAGTATTATCTTTGCCAAAACTGGTTTGGCTCAGCGGTAGAGCATCGGTCTGCGGACTGAAAGGTCCCAGGTTCGATTCCGGTCAGGGGCATGTACATTGGTTGCGGGTACATCCCCGGTAGGGGATGTGCAAGAGGCAGCTGGTCGATGTTTCTCTCATCGATGTTTCTAGCTCTCTATCTCTCTCCCTTCCTCTCTGTAAAAAATCAATAAAATATATATATTAAAAAAAAAAAAGTATTATCTTTCTCTAATAACAGAATAGAATAAGCACATTGCTTGTGAAGACATATTTTTCATTAAATTCAGAAATAACTGTAGACTCAAAAATAAATGTGCTTTTTTTTTTTTTTTAACAGTTATTGTCAATACTAACTAGCTATGCAAATTATAGTTAAGCAGCTATGTGCTAAGATTTCCTAAACTGGAAAAGACTTGGTCTAACTGATTTCTCATGAAAAACTTTAGTTGGCTGAAGCCAAGACAAACTGACAGAAGCACTCAGGTTCATTATGGTGTTCCTGAGCCACCCCGCCTCCTCTGCAGCACATCTCTGTGCAGGACGGCAGCTTACTGTTGCTCGTGCCCCCAGGCTGGAATTCCTTAAAGCTTCCAGCTCTTCCGTCATTTTGGAAGCCAAGGCCTGAAGGTATCCTCGTGCATCCTTTTCGTCGCTGACCCTGAAATGCACGCAGAGAACGGCAGAGAGAAAGCATAGCATTAAGCAAAAAGAAAAACGTGAGGGAGTTTATATTACTTTAAAGCATCAAAGAAATAAGTGAAAAGTGACAGAAATTTAAACATGTGCTCTAATACCTTCTTTCAAAAGTCCTACCCTAGTACCACTACATGTCAACGGGGGGGGGGGGGAGGGAGGAAATGTCCACTGAACAAATTAAAGTCACCTCCTGGAATTCACCCAGCGTGAGCTATGTCCAAACCCCCCCTACCCCCCACAAAGCCACATGCAAGGGTACTCACCACTGAATGATTTCTGTGATCTGGGCTTCCCAATGTGCAACGGATTCTTTCTTGTCTGCTAGGTCTTTCACTTCTTCTTCCAGCTGCCGGTTGCGTACACTGAGGCTCTCATACAGAGCCATAAGCTGAAAGGCGTCAAGACACATGTGACTTTCAGAAACAGGAACTCAAGGTGCTCAGATGCCTCTTGTTAAACCTTAAATTCACCATATTCCACTCGAAAACGCGTGTCTTGTTGATCCCGCACTGCTAACCCTCTGGTCACAGGTTTGGAAACATCTATTCCTCTCCAGATTCTCCATCTACCTTTGCTTTTCCCCTTTTCTCCTTGAACTAAACTGATGCTCTTTGTGAACATTCTTCATTTGCCTGAAGAACTCCACAATTCTGCCAGAAACAATGTCTCTCTCTCTCTTTTTTCTTATTTTTGGTCTGAAAATGTCTCTGTCATCCTTTTGTTTTTAAAATTCTTTGTTTAAAGCATTACGTATGTTTCCTTCTTCCCCCACTGACCTTGCCCTGGTCGTTCCCACCCCTCCTCCAGCACATGCCCTCAACCCCCTATGGTCTGTGTCCATCCTTTATGCTTATACGCATGCATGCGAGTCCTTTGGTTGGTATCTCACTCCCCTCTCCACCTTCCCTCTGTAGTTGATCTGTTCGATGCTTCTATTCATCCTTTTTTTTTTTTTTTTTTTTTTTTAAAGTGTAAGAATTACAAGCTTATAGAAGAATGGCTGTATAGCATAAGTGACTTCCTATGAGCCCATCACCCATGCTCAACAATTAACCACACTCAACAATGTCAATGCTAATTCATTTGTACTCGTTTTCTTACCCATCCTCCTGTATTATTTTGAAGCAAGTACCAGACATGATATTTTATCTGTATAATTTCTATGAATAGACAGCTCTAGAAAACAGGTTCTCATGAAATAGAACCACAATATTATCATATTTAACAAATTTAACAAGTTTCTTGATATCATAACATAGGTAGATAATTGTTCAAAAAGTTATCCCAAAATATCAAAAAAACTTAACAGTTTGTTAAAAACAGTAAACGTAGCTTAATGAGGTTTTGGGATCTTTCAAGTCTTTTATTTATAAGTTCCTAGCTTAGTCAACTCAGGCTGCTAAAACAGAATATCATAGACTGGATTAAACTTTTTTCAGACTACAGGAATACTTCCTACAATAGTCATTTGCAGAAAGGCACTGGGGAGTAACAAGGCAGCCAATACTTTATTGAGCCAATCCATTTTTTAAAAATATATATTTTTTATTGATTTTGTACAGAGAGAAAGAGAGAGGGATAGAGTTAGAAACATCGATGAGAGAGAATCATTAATCAGCTGTCTCTTGCACGCCCCTTACTGGGGATGTGCCCGCAACCAAGGTACATGCCCTTGACCAGAATCGAACCCGGGACCCTTCAGTCCCCAAGCCGACGCTCTATCCATTGAGCCAAACCGGTCCCGGCATGAGCCAACCCATTAACGTGGTATTCCTCCACTGGGTTGGACATTCCTTAATTAATCTCAGCAACACTTGGTAGCTGTCTTCCTCTGGTTAATTCCAAGAGTTGTGAAATGATTGTTTTGGTAAGTGTGCACTTTGTTTTTAAAATTCTTTGTTTAAATATTACATATGTCTCCTTCTTCCCCCTCTGACCTTGCCCTGGTCGTTCCCACTCATTTCTTCACCTCTTCATGTTAGCAGAGCCAGAAGCCCACCCGCTGCTTCTGAGAATGTTTTCTGTAGATGCAGTGTCTTCACTAATTCTTACAACACATTTATTTTATTTTATTACCATTGCTTTTGACAGCCCTTCCAACTAATTTGTGGTTGGGGTTTCGGTGGGAGATTTGCAAGAGAAGAAAATTCAGATTTTGCACTGCCCAGTTACAATAGTTACAAGGTATTTTAAATAGATTTACTCAGAAAAAAAAGTATCTATTCCTTGTTACTAATAAAAGCACGAACTCTGGAACCAGACTACGGACTTCAGAAAAGTAGCTTAATCTCCCTTTGCCTCAGTGTCCTCATGTATAAAATACCTTAGAGAGGTATTGGGAGAATTAAATTATTCAAATAAAGTTACTCAGAAGAGGACTAGCATATAGTCATTTTATCTAAGTATAGTTCATTTTGTATGGGAATTTACTATTTGTACTTTAATGTATCTGGCTCATAATAATTATAAGACTACACGGAAATATGGAAAATTCTCATAACATTTTAAGTGAAAAGGCAGATTAAAAATACAATGTACGTATGACTGCATTTATGTAGTAACTAGAGGCCTGATGCACGAAATTTGTGCAAGGGGCTTAGCCCTCACAGCCACAGTGGCTGCCTGGGCCCTCACAGACCCAGCTTCGTCCAGAAGGTCGTTCAGCTGTCTGGTCTAATTAGCATATTATGCTTTTATTATTATAGACTAGTGGCCCAGTGCAGGAAATTAATGCATGGGGGGGGGGGTTCCCCTCAGCCCAGCATGCACCCTCTCCAATTGGGGATCCCTTGGGGGATGTCCGACCTCTGGTTTAGGCCCAGTTCCTATGGGACATCCCTCTCACAATTTGAGACCACTGGCTCCTAACCACTCACCTGCCTGCATGCCTGATCGCCCCTAACTGTCCTCCCCTGCCAGCCTGATCACCCCTAATGGCCTCTGCCTCTGCCCCCACCACTGTGGCTTTGTCCGGAAGGAAGTCAGATGTCTGGAAGATGGCCAGTCGACCTGGTCTAATTATCATATTACCCTTTAAGTAGTATAGATAAGATTATATAGGATAGGATTGCTTAAATGGGAGAGAGAGGGAGCCTTTTTTCAGCAGGAGGAGATGCTCTTGGAAGACAAAAATCCATAATCCTTATATCTGGAATGATAGCCAGCCAAATGCACTATACTGCCAAACTTGTCATTAAAAATTTGAACCACTTTCTTACACCAAACAGCTGTTGCCCTGAAAACCCCTCCTTAGCTCCCACCTTGGGTTCTGCCTTCAAAGTTCACCCAGATTAGGTTCTGATTGGTTGGTTTCTAGGCCAGTCAGCGTCTCTGGGCCTATCAACGGGCCTGATCAGAGAGGTGGGGCTGACCAGCAGCCCAACCAGAGGCCCAAGAGAAAGAGGGGTGCAGCTGCTGGCCAGGCCCAGAGTGAAAGAGGCAAGTGCTGATCAACAGCTGCCACAGAGGCTACGGATCAGACCCTGCTTTTCTCTCCCAAGGCCTCTCTCCAAGCCTGATCCACAGCCTCTCAGCAGTCAGTGCTGGATCCAGGCTCCCATAGCCGAGGCAGTCAGTGCTGGGTCACCACAGCAACCCAGCATTGACTTGCGGTTGGTGGAGCCTCGTTGTTGTGGATGTTACAGACCTTGGGTTTTTATATATTAGGGTATGGATACAAACAAAACTTGAAAAGAACAGTTATGTTGTGATGATGACATCATGGGTACCTTTCATGTTGAACATTTTCCACATATTTTGTAATTTTGCTTTTATGTAAAATAAAAACAACATGCAAATGATATGTTTTCTTGCTAGAAACCATTTACTTTTACTCCATGGAATTCATGCCTAATTTTATTTGCAATAAGTTAATAAAAAGTGAAACTTGCAGACTTCTGGAAATATTAATTTTTTTTCCTACTTTCTTTTTATCTTTGGAGTTTAAAAATGTGAATGTGAGAATGTATTAGTTATAAAAGTTATTTAAGTTTCAAAATTAACATAATACTTGCTTTTTGGCTTTTATATCTAAAATACTGTGTGTGTGTGTGTGTGTGTGTGTGTGTGTTTGCAAGGTAAAATCTCTCTATCGGCTCCATCTACACCTGGACAGAGATGGCTCTAGACCCAGGGGACTTCTGATTGGGGGCCTGTGGACAGTCAGAGGGGGCAGCTTCAGTGCTGAAGGTGGACGGCTCCGCAGCCCACACATGCAACAGCAGCGCCTGCTTGCTGAAGCTTAGACCTTGGCCTGGCCGGTGAAGACAAGAACAAAAACACGGTTCTATCGATAGAATCACACGTATCTGGAAGTCAGCACTGATGCTGAGCAGCGGCACCAAGAAGGCTGAGAGCAGTGAGCACGTAGTCCAGGCGTGCGGGATGATCCTCAGGGCCATCTGGTGGCAGGCCCAGCTCCTGAGGGCCATGCCCCGTGCTTGCTGTAGCATGTCCCCCTGTTCCCTGCCAGCACTGCCATGTCCTGCAGGTCAAGCTCAGCAGCCCGCCTTCACCCACAGCCTGCACAGCTGCATCACACCGATCCGCCTCCCACTGGTGCTGGTGCATCAGAATCCGGGCATCTGCTTGGCCAGGCGGGCCACCTCGGTGAGCTGCACGTCATGGCGGTGAGATTCACAGCTCGGGCAGAGTGGAACGAAGACCTGAGGCTGCGAGGCTCTCCAGTGCCCGCAGGCCTTCCTCTCTGATCTCCGCAGCGGCTGCTCCAGGCCAGTTTCCGGGCCTGGTCTGCCCCCTCCACAGAGCCTTGTCCTCCTCTAGCTCCGACAAGCCCACCGCCACCTCTTGCACCTCCTTTTCACCGGCACCTTGACCTGGACTCCTCTGGCCCCAGATGAACGCGAGCCAACTCGGTGATCACAGCACACGTCAGACCCGGCTGAACGCCCACGGCGGGGTAGGTGGCTTCGTTGGCGCTGGGGAAGGCGATCTTGATGAACCCCTCGGAGACAGTTGTCACCTGGGCTTCAGGCGGGCGCCTTCTGCCGCAGGGCACCGTGCCGGTCTCCACTGTGGTGGATGTGCCGGCCCTTGGCGCTGCCCTCCATAAGCCGAGCACACAGAGCCCGCCTAACCGGAGATCAGGCTCAGCTACAGAGGGGTCCTCGTATGGGACATCCACGGAAGCCTGTGCCCGCCACGCCTGCTCTCCCAGAACTGAGAACCGAATGAGCATCGGTCACATTTTCCGGTACAAGGCCTGGGCGCCGCCATGTACTGCTAAGAGAAAGTTTAGACCTGGGGCCTAAAGTACTGCTAAGAGAAAGTTCAGCTCCCCCAGGCTGGCTTCCCAGGGAACAGCTGGGGCAGCAGCCAGGCCGAGGGACCCCACTCATGCACAAATTCGTGCACTAGGCCTCTAGAATATTATAGTTGTCAAAACTTCTTGTTTGACCTAATTGTTCCTGCTCTTACTAAAGGCCAGCCTTAACTTAACTTTTTATTCTTTAGTTACTCCTCATGGAGAAAATACTCAATTCACACCGACCCAGAAAATGAAGAAATGGAAAGAAACAGTGAAGATGTACAGCTAGGTGACTGAGAGTTAAACAGAAAAAGCTAAAGCTGAATAAAAGGAGCAAAAGTGAACAAGTTAAAAAAGAAGCAAAAACCCAAACTTTCCTTATTTCCGCATGAGCTAATATATCCTTGCTCTCAATAGTCATTAAATGCTCACCTACTATATGAATTTGATCTCAATGTGCTACTCATCCTTCCTCACAACTTTCAATTTAGCAAGAAAGGGAATGTTGTATTTTTATAAATTTAGGAGATAGGTTTTTATTTTTACCTTTCAGGTCTCACCAGAATCAAGAGTATTGTTTTAAAACTATCTCTAAATATGTATTTTGTGTAAAATCAGCAGAACTTTATAGTTAATAATGAAATAAAACCAAGGAATGAATATAAGATTTGACCTATATTCAATAGGATTACTTTTCAACACAAATTTTCTTCAACTATATCATCCTTTGCTAGGTAATCTGCTTAAGACTCTACATGAATTGGACAAAAAGAGCTTAATTATGTTTCTTACCTCATGATAACTCTTAAAAGAATATTAAAATTTTGCCTTATATAAAGAAATTATGTTTTAATTTTGTAGTCATATTAGTCAAATATATGAAATAACAATTATGTGACTTATTTGAATAAAGTTCAAGTACTGTTAGTTTTATTATAGCGGAAATAACTAAGAGTTACGTTACATATGTATATATATATACATATACATATATATATACATATACATATTCAGTTTAAAATTCATTTTTACTACTTGGGCCACTTTCCAATGCTTGTGTACATCAGCTCTATAAAACTTGACAAAATGAACTACCAGTTCTTTCTTAAGTAGCTTTCAACTAAACAAGCAAAGTAAATTTTTTAAAAAAACTTTATCTTCACTGATTTTTAGAGAGAGAGGAAGGGAGAGAAACATCGATGTGAAGTGAAAAATCGATCAGCTGCCTCCTGACGTCCCCACCATGCATTGAGTCTGAAACCTGGGCATATGCCCTGACTTGGAATCAAATTTGCAACCTTTTGGTGCACAGGATGACACCCTACCAACTGAGCCACATTAGCCAGGGCGAGCAAAGTCAAATTTAAGTGCTTAGAAAACAAAGTAATTCTGGGGAAAGTATTGAGAAAAAAATAAAAATATATATGGGACACAGTGGAAAACAGGAAGAATGGAGAGTCGTTCAGTCTTTTATTGGAATCACTAATAATTAAACATAATACTTTTATTGGAGGAAAATCACCATAAAGCACAATTATCCAAACCCTATTTAAATGTAAGTAAAGGCATTAAAGATCAATATTAGGATTTTTATGACTGTTAAGAGCTGCTGTCACAGAAATGCAAAATGATGGCCATTTCAAATATCAGATACTCTAAATGGGGAAACATTCTTCCAAACATTTGAAATTCTGTTCATTGACCTGGCTACTTACAAGCTTAACCTATGGTTCTGGTTCTTTGTTCAAGGTACAGAGTTTAGGCAGAGTTGGTTTCTTTAGATTTTTACAGGCCAACTATTATTTCTAGCTATTGTCAATCCTTCATCATAAATCTATATATATAAAAGCCTAAGTGACTGCTACAACTGGTGACCGAACAACCAGTCGCTATGACATGCACTGACCATCAGGGGGCAGATGCTTAATGCAGGAGCTGCCCCCTGATGGCCAGTGCACTCCCACAGCCAACCTCCTGCAGCTGGCCAACTTTCCATGTTCCCTCCCTCTGGCTGTCTGGGCCCCGATTAGCCTGAACAGGACTGAGCGAGGCAGCCTCGATTGGACCCGATCGCCGGCCAGGCTGAGAGACCCCACCCATGCACAAATTCGTGCACTGGGCCTCTAGAATATTATAGTTATTACAACTTCTCTAGTTTGACCTAATTGTTTCTGCTCTTATGACAGGCCAGCCTTAACTTAACCATGACAGACGTCAGTGATGAATATTAGGTAAAGAATAAGAAAAGAGAATAGATGGGAAGTGCAGTAAGGAATAGAGGCTCAAAAACATAAATGGGGCTGGCTGGCATGTTTCAGTGATTGGACCAGGAGGTCACAATTAGATTCCCTGTCAGAGCACATGCCCGGGTTGTGGGCTTGATCCCCAGTATGGGGCGTGCAGGAAGCAGCTGATCAATGTCTCTCATCATTGATGTTTCTCTCTCTTCCTCCCTTTCCCTTCCTCTCTGAAATCAATAAAAATATTAAAACAAACAAAAACATAAATGGGACAAAGCATAAGATGAGATGTCCTCTCTCCAGAAGACTCTTGTACAGATTGGTACAATGAGAAAATAAGCAACCCTTGTGTATAAGGAGGAATAGTAAAAAAAAAAAAAAAAAAAAAAAAATGTACACCAAATACATAATTATACCCACAGTTTCTATGATGGCGCTGACAATGTAAATGTGCTCAATGAATGTAAATGAGATTGAATCACTCACCTTATCAAGTTCACTTGTCAGTTTTTTATTTTCTTCAGTTAATAACACTTTTTCTCGTTCATACTGTTGTTTGAACTCATTTTCAAATTCTTCCCTTTCACTTTGACTAACACAATTCAAAACATAAAAGAAAAAAAAGAAATAGGATTAAAGGTCAAATTATGGTGCCCCAGATGAGCTACTGTATCATGTTTTCATCCTGGAAAGTCACTTAGATCTTGACTATTCCAAATCCCAATCTTTCCCCTTAAAGTTAAAAATCACAATCACTTCCTTTTAAATAATAAATAGATTGGTCTGCTTAATAGCATCTACTTCGTTTTTCAATTGAAAATTGAGGAAGAGATCTGTGATTAGTAGACTCCTGGATTGTGTTCACTTCCTTCCTTCTCTCCTGCTTAATCTAAGTGCCTACCTACATACACATATATACATATACACATACTCAAATTTAATATTATAAAGTTTACTTTAAATTATAGTTATGTGGGCAGAAATGATTCCCTTAGAAGCAATCACAGTTCTAATTGTAGGGAGAAAGGAGAATCAGTTTTTACATAATGAGATGTAGAAATGTACTAATAGATACAGAAGTTTATGTCTACAGCAGTTTGATGGAGGATGTTAGTAGCAACTAATGAAATTCAATGTGGAGTTCTGGGTAATTTTATATGATTCAACAAAGAACATACTTTTGATTTTTAAAACGTAATCGCTTTAAAATTTTTAAAAAAATATATTTTATTGATTTTTTTATACAGAGGAAAGTAGAGAGATAGTTAGAAACATTGATGAGAGAGAAACATCGATCAGCTGCCTCCTGCACACCCCCACTGGGGATGTGCCTGCAACCAAGGTACATGCCCTTGACTGGAATCGAACCTGGGACCGTTCAGTCCGCAGGCCGATGCTCTATCCACTGAGCCAAACCGGTTTTTGCCACTTTAAAATTTTTAAAAGTAATTTTTTAAATCCCCTGCACTACTAAATTACTGAAAATAGACTAAATAATAATTTAAATGATAAATTCCAGGAAAATAAACCATCCTGTATCCAAGCAAATGTACCGCTTTCCTTATTACCTATAGTCACAATGTGAATCTAGTTATATTTAAGAATAATTCTTGACTTGGCATCAACTCCAAACAACAAATGACAGAAACATGAAAAATTACAAAAAAAAGTCTCCCTTCAGAAAAAAATACGTATGCAAATAAAGAGTACAATTCCTATGTAAACCATTGTCGTTTTTTCTACTAGCATGCAGCCAACTTAAGTCTCCTCCACATGAAAAGACAACAAACAAGCTCCCCTAAGCTCCACGATCCACTTCACTTTCCACTCTCCTGGCCTCCCTGCCCTGCTAACCGCCCTGAGATCCTGAGAGAGCTGGCTGCCTCCGCTTTCTCTCGCCTACCTGCCCCTCACCACACCAGACCTGGCTCCTGCTGCACCCCTCCAAAGTGCTCCTCAACACGCAACCTAGTCCCCTCTATCCAGCCTCCTGGCCACCTCAGTGCTGTCTAGTTATCTTGAAGCGCTGGCTTCCGTGGCTTCAGTGACACCTCGCTCTGGTTTCCAGCTGCCGTCCGAAATGCCTGGCACCCGCCTCAGCTGCAGTGCTCCCGGCGTCCTGTCAGGTGCTCCCTCCTCTCTGCACGCCTTTCCCTGAGCATCTCATCCACCACCGCCCGGCTTCACTTCTCTGTTCTGCTGGCAAACTCTGACCTCACATCGGAAGCCCTTCTGGGCTTCAAGCCTTCTTCAAGCTTCAAGACTTGCCATCTCCACAAAGATGCCTCCCAGGCGCTCACGTTCAATATGCCCAACTCGAGAGCTCAGCACGTGACCCGTTCCCACCGCCTGCCTTCCTCTGTGCCCAGCACACACCTTTCTTTCCTCTTCCCACAGCTGAGAGCATGGCTGAGGCCAACCCCACTCACTATCTACCTGCTCAAATACTCTGCTCCTCTGTCCTCTATTAATTTATTTCAGATTATAAATCTGGTGCAATTTCTCCCATCTAAAAACAAAAATCAAAGTAACTTTGAGAGAAATTTCTCCTCCAGCTGCTACCTCACTGCACTGCTTTTCAACATAAAAGACTCCGAGTGATAACAGTGGTGTCCACACTCTCTGTCTCCAAATGCTCTCCTTCTAGTCTTTGGCTCCCACTGTAGGGTTCTGGCCCTCACTGTTACACTGACAATGTTCCTATCAGTCACCAATGACCTTCATATTGTTTAACTCAACTGCCATTACATGGATCTCATTTTATTTGATATAAACTTCACCTCATGTGACATGCAAACAGATTTGATAGGTTTTCATCACATGGCTTCTAGGACACCATATTCGCCTGGAAATTTGTAATGTGTAGAAAGTCAGGATGCTCTACACAACGGCTGACTGCACATCTCTGCCCGGATGTCTAATATGCATCTCAAATATAACTTGTTTAAAATGAGCTCCTGACAATACACCCCAAACTGGGTCGCTGATAGGGCCTCGTGGCCAACTTCCTGGTCCCTCCTCCCAGCAGACAGGCCCCGATCAGCCCAATTGGGCTGGGACGGGGAACCAGAGGTGGGGGGGTAGGGAGGGGCAGCTGCGGACACAATCCTTTTCCCAGGGAGCCGAGGGCTGGCTCCCTCCTCAGGGACAGTGCCAATCTCCTGGGTTCCTGGGTCCCTCTTCCTCCTCCTCCCCTGGACGGCAGGTCCCAATCACCTGAACGGGCCAGGCCCCAGGCTGGGACAGGGAACCAGGGGTGGGTGGTGGCAGACACCGTTGGCAAGGGAAGTAGGAGGGGGATAGGTGGGGAGGCGGGGAACCTTATTGGCCTACTGACCCCACCTGTGCACGATTTTGTGCACCGGGCCTCTCATGTGTTTATATAATTAAATTCTTCCCCTTAATGCTTCATAGCATCTTCTGCTTTATTTTTTGTTCCTGGTATTTCTCATTGATTCTGTTTGGTATGCTACTTAATGCTGGGGTCTTTCCCCGTAACGAAAGGAACGCTCCATAAGGACAGAGAATTTTCTGTCTGTTCACTGCCATGTTCCCAGTGCCTCTGCACATAGTAGGTTCTAAAACACTCCTAATGAATGAATGCACCAAACTGAATAAATGTAGGCTTCTGATATAAATTGAGAATGATAATAACTACACTTTGTTGCCTAAAATCTAGACAGACACCAGAATTCCACTGATTAAGCCCCCTGTTCTTCATTTCTCACCTCTGGTCATGATGTCCTCTAAGTTCTGTCTACTTCTCTCCATCTCCACGTACCTGCCTAAGGTCCAGCAGCCTCGTGTCTCACAGCTAGGCTCCTATCTGCCGTCTGCTCCTCCAACCCATTCTCCACACGGTACAAGAGCGATCTCTTAAAAATATACTAACAATCACTTAACTGGCCTGGCCTTTGACTAAAGTCCAAGTATCTTACATGCCTTCATGAGCTTGCCTCTGTTTTCCTTCCCGGCAGCATTTCTCACCCCTCCCCTCGCTTCCCCTGTCTTGTCATGTTTGTACCACAATGAACAGCTTTCCTTTCTGAATGTGCCATGCTCCCCTTCTCCTCTAGATGGCAGCAGTCTGCTGCCTCTGTTTGGACACTTCTGCAGCCATAGATTTCTTTGGTCTTAACCTAGAAATCATTTTGCCCAAAAAACTTAGATGCACTGAAGCCATCTCTGGGCTCTTCTATGGGGGTGCTCTCACACACCCCGCTTGCTTCCCTATTGGGTTGTACTGTGTTTTCTATTCACTAGTCTTAACTGTGGGCCTCTGGAGCACTGGAACATGCTTACTGCCTGCAGAGCTCCAGGACCTGGCACATGCCAGGCATTCAATAAATATTTATTAGAGGAGTGAGTAACTTGATTCTTACCTTTCTCTCCTGTTTTTTTCCAATTTGTCTTTCAAAATCATAATTTCTTTGTTCAGAGCAAGTTGCTGGCCTTCTGAGTCATGCAGTTCTTTCTTTAGATTTTTAATTTCATTTGCATGTATTCCTTCTCTTTTGGATAATTCTTCTTCATAAAAGATACTTTTCTTTTCCAAATCTGTCTTTAGTTTAGTTATCTCTTGCTGATGTTCTATGCTATACACTCCTGGTGAGTAACTAATCTGTTTTTGCTATAAAAAAAAAAAAAAAAGATTAGTTCATATGTAAGAATAAAATATTAAATAACTTCTTTCTATTCTAAAAAAAGACTATTCATATAGCTTTAATAGTATTTTTATATTATCACATAAAATAATTCTTTATTAAAGGCTATTAATCTCTCTTGTCTGCCACGTTACAATATTTTTTTTGTACATTCCTTTATTATTGTGTATCTTACAGTCTTCGTCACAACAAGATTGCATATCTGTATTTTCTGCTGGTACTTACATAATTATTTGTTTTACACTTAAAGTTTTAGTTTTATACACAAATATTGTTGGTTATGGAATAAGAAAAAAAATCTACCTGCATCTGGTTTCTGAAGTGGAACCAATAAAAGGTAATAAATACGTTTGTGTTTTTAAAAGATTAAATTGGGAGAGGGGATGGTACAGCTAGAGTGTACAAAAAGAAGAGAGGGGACTTTCAGTCTCCGGGGAGAAGTGACAAAGTCTAACCTAATGTCTTCAAAGTCTCTCTAGGAAAAATGAAGGTCTCTGCCGCAGGTTGTGTATTAAGGAGACATTTGCCCGAAAGCCACCGTTTTGGAAATGCGGTTGAAATGTCCTCTGGGTAAGGAGATGTGCTAGCCCAGCCCGGGATGGTCCATCTCAGCTGACAGTGTCTGCAAGGCTTCCTGGAGCCACACCAGGTACTTCACTAGCCACGCCCCCATGCCAATGACCAAAGGGCTCTGTCCGGGGAGCAGCCCTGCATAAATATCTAACTCTCTCCTGGCAGATGTTCTTCCCACTATACACAGTCTGCACTTCCTTCCTCCGTGGTTAGGAAGTCGTTACCAGCTTCCTATGGCAAAGCGGGAATTAAGAGCACGAGGTCGGAAGGAGAGCTCATGTTTGCTGCACTCCGAAGAGAGCACGTAAGGAACCTGCCTCTGAAGCCTGCGGAGGAGCAGACAGCTCCACCCATGAGAACGCAAACGCTACCTTCAGGCCCTCCAGCTCGTTTTCCAGCTGCTTGGAGTAGTGCTCGCTCTGTTCACGCAGCTTCCTGTCCTTAGATGCTTCGGCAGCTACAGCTTCTGTGTGAACTTCCAGCTTTAACACACAATGAGAAAAGCAGAGTCATGGTTTTAACTGTATGCCCAAGGAAATGGTTTTTCCCCGGGGAATTTACCTTGCAACAGGAAGATAAGTCAAATGCTGAAATTCATATTAAATAATATTACCAAACTACAAAATTAACCTCTTTGAACAGTTCAAGAATGAAGTAGATATCATGTCACTCGTCTGAAAAAGCAGCTTTAAGCACTACCGCGTGGACACTACAGACCTTGCCTGACTACTGACCTCTTTCTTGGCTCTCTCTGTTCTGCGCAGTTCTTGCCTTAAGCTTTCAACTTTTTGCATCACCAGGTCCACCTCTTCTTCCTTATCTCGGACGTGGCGAGCAAGTTTCTGCTTTTGGGTGTGCAATTCTGTGAGCCGCTCATTGATCTCCATGAACTCCTGCATGGCCAGTTTCCGCTGGCAGTGTGCGTCTTTCAGCTCTTTGGACTGGTTTTTTAATCGCTCACTAGCCTGGACTAGTTCCTACAGTTTTGTAAAAAGAATATAAGTTACCAATTCTGCAACCTACGAACCAAATTTGGCCATCATGTCATGCTATAATGAAATCAAGAGGAGCCAAAATTATTCACCTTAGGATAAAATGAAATGAACTACTTTTGATTAGATATTCAGAGCATGGCACTCTGTTCATATTTTCAGTTCTTTATGCTAAAATGCTAACTGCAAAGGAACAGCAGATTTAACCTTCCAATACCCTGTTTCTACAAATAAATAAAGAGCATAGGAATATAAGATGCAATGGTCAAAGTAAAGATGTTGAGATATTTAATGGATATCTGTGCATATTAAAAAGACTTGAAAGCTCAATTAACAAGCTTCATATACAGAAGCTTGCATCCACTACTGGGGAACACACATTCACCTTCAGCTAATACTGAGCATTTAGAAATGAAACAGCCTAGACCATACAGCAAGTCTCAGCAGATTCAAAAGAACAGATATCATATAGATTAAGTTCTTTTAATAATATTACCATTACAATAGAAATAAAAAATTAAAAAGCCTAGCCTGGCTGGGTGGCTCAATTGGTTGGAGCATCGTCCCTTACACCGGAAGGTTGCAGATTCAATCCTTTGTCAGGGTGCATCTGGGAGGCAACCAATCAATGTTTCTCTCTCAAATTGATCTTTCTGGTCTCTCCCTCTCTTTCTCTCTCAAATCAATAAACATATCCTTGGGTGAGGATAAAAAAAAGTTTAAAGGCCAAATTCCAAAACAATTAATTGGTCAAAAAGAAAAACCATAAAAGCACTAAATTATCTAGAGTAAAAAAATATTCAATACTAAAACTTGAAGAGGCAGTAAAAATAGAAAAGTTATAAACCTGAAACACTTATATTGAAACCAAAAAGATGCTTGAAATGCAATGAAATTCCACATTAAAGAAAAAATAACACATTAACATTTTCTCCAAATATGAGAAGGGGCATAAATTAAAGAAAAAGGAAATGTAAGAATAATGAAGATCAACAAAACCAAAAGTTGGTTCTTTAAAAAACAAACGAACAGAAAAATATCTGATGAGATCAAATAAGGGAATAAGATTAAATTCACCCCCCAAAAATTAAAAGAGGCTATAACTACAAATCTAGGAGATATAAAAAAGATAATAAAAGAACACAATGAAAAACTTTATTACCTTATTAATTGAACAAATGCCTATCTAAATTATAATTTATCAATAGTGGTTTCAAGAAGAAATAAAATCCTGAATAGTCCTATAACAATTAAAATAACTGAATCAATAAACTTTCTCCCATCCATCCAGCAGAAGAGAATTCCCCAAGCTCACATGGTTTTACAACTGATTCCTTTAATGTTTCAAAGGTACAAAATGTTCCTCTTATACAAACGTTTTCAGAGAGAAAAAGAGGCAATGCTACCTCATTCATTCTAAGAGACCAGTATAATCTTGATTTCAAGAAAAGACCAGGCCTAGCTGGTCTGGCTCAGTTGATAGCATCAGCCTGCAAACTGAAGGATCTCATGTTCAATTCCAGTCAAGGGCACATGCCTGGGATGTGGGCTGGATCTCCAGTAGGGGGCGTGCAGGAGGCAACCAATCAATGATTCTCTCACCATTGATGTTTCTCTCTCTCTCCCTTCCTCTCTGAAATCAATAAAAATATATTTAAAAAGAAAAGTCGAGAAAGCCCAGCTGATATGGCTCAGTGGTTGAGCGATGACCCATACACTAGGAGGACATAACGATGCCTGGTCAGGGCACATGCCTGGATTGTGGGCTCAATCCCCAGTAGGGGGTGTGCAGGAGGAAGTTCATAAATGATTCCCTCTCATCATTGATGTTTCTATCTTTCCCACTCCCTTCCTCTCAGAAATATATATATATATATATATATATATATATATATATATAAAGACTAGAAAATTAAGGAAGGAAATTACAAGATAATCTTACTGATGAAAACAAATTCTAAAAAATCAGAAAAAAAAGACATTAGCAAATCAGTTCTTATGATGTATAAAGTGAAAAATGTAAATTCTAGAACTAGAGTTGTGTTGAAATTCCAGCTCTACCACTTCCTAGCTCTACTATCATCTTAAACAAATGTACCCACTTCTCTGTACTCAGTCTTACCATCTATAAAATGAGGACAATAATTTCACCACCCAAAGCACAGGGTACTTACAAAGACTAAATGATCTAATATATAGAAAGCACTTAAAATAGTGCTATTAGAAGACATGCTATGTGTCACCTATAATATATTATCATATTATTATTATTTAGGAGCTAAGACATGGGCAATTTCTGTTTAACCCACAAATAAAGAAGTGGTTTAACACTGAAAAAGTCTGTAAATATAATTCAGCACACCAACTTATTAAAGGAGAACAAGCATATCAATACTTATTTTTGATGAAAATGGTTAGCAAGATAGGCACAAAAGATAACTTCTTTCCTGATAAGACGTATTTAACAAAGACATACAGAAACATTATTATTAGTGGTGAAATATTAAAAGCATTTTCTTTGAAATCAGGAGTAAGACAGGAATGACTGCTAGCACCACTTCTATTCGACATAGTACTAAGAGGTCCAAGCTAATACAGGAAGACAAGGAAAGAAAGAAAAGTCATGAAATTTTTAAAAAGGAATAAACAAACTGCCATTATTTGCAGAAAACTTTAAAGAATCTCAAATATGTTATTACAACTAATAACAGTTAAGCAATATTGCTAGAACATTATCAGTAAGAAATGTAATTTCTAAAATGTGAAAAAACAGAATAATAAATTTAAGGAAAAGCAAACAGGACCTCTATAAAAATCTACAGAAAAACATTTTTAAAAATGTTTAATTGTCTGGAGAGATATAGCATGTTTGTGGATAAAAAGATTGTGGGGCTATAGGGAAAATATTTTTATGTTTTTGAACAGTTAAGCCTTTCTAAGAACATTTGACTTAAACTTGGGACACAAGCAAGCCTTTCCGAGTAATGTATGAGTAGTTCAGACAGTGAGAAATCCAGAGGGATTGAACGCCTGGACAGAGGCGTTTCCATTCCTGTTAAGAGCCTGAACCAGGGAGCCACCCTCTTTACAGAGCGGGGACTCGGGCATGGCTCCCACTGGAACGATGATTTCTATTCCAAAGTGTCCCGGGTCCTCCTCCTGAGGCTTCCAGGAGAGGCTCAGCGGTGGTGGGGACGGAAAGCAGGAAGCATGTGCTTCCCTCCTCTGCACACAAACCCTGGCTCACTTCCCGGGACCTTCATCTACAGCACAGACTGCACGTGTGCAGGGAGTTAACCTCCCAGCAATCACTGCACTGAGGAACACACTGCACACAGGGAGCCATGTAGTTATTACTATATTTGTTTTATATTTATATTATTATATTTATATTATAAATATCCTCACCTTAGGATTTTTTTCTACTGATTTTTTTAAGAAAGAATAGAAGGGATGGAGGGAGGTGGGAGAGAGAGAGAAAGAGAGGCACACTGACTTGTTGCCTTCTATACGGACAATTAATATATATAATTCTAATATAACTAGAGACCGGTGCACGACATTCATTTATGGGGGAAGAGGGACGCGGGGGGCTGGAGGGAGGTCCCTCAGCCTGGCCTGCACCCTTTTACAGTCCAGGAGCTCTCGGGGGATGTCCGACTGCCAGCTTAGGCACATTTCCCGCGGTGAATGGGCCTAAACCAGCAGTCGGACATCCTTCGTGCTGCTACGGAGGTGGGAGAGGCTCCTGCCACCACTACGATGCTCGCCAGCCGTCAACCAGCTTCTGCCTGAGCAGCACTCCTCCTGTGGGAGTGCACTGACCACGAGGGGGCAGCTCCTGCGTTGAGTGTCTGCCCCCCAGTGGTCAGTGCGCATCATAGCAACTGGTTGTTCTGCCGTTCAGTCGATTTGCATATTACCATTTTATTATGTAGGATAATTATGTACAATAATTGAGTAGTCTAAATTATTGTACATAATTATTGAGTAGTCTTTCATTACTAGCTATTAATCAATTATTATATACTACATCATTGAATTCAATTTTTATTACATCATTATATATTTTTATGTTCTTTCTAAGAATATTTGACTTAAACTTGGGACCTAAGCAAGCCTTTCTGAGTGATGTATGAATAGTTTAGATAGTGAGAAATCAGAGGGATTTAACGCTCTTTCATTACTAGCTATTAATCAATTATTATATAGTACATCATTGAATTTGATTTTTACTACATCATAAGCCACTTATTTCTTTTGCATTGGCTAGTATTAATTCCAATATTTAAAAAAATAAGTGAATGAAAGGCAAAGTTCCCAGGGAACATGGTTTAAGTAAAGTATTTTTCTTGAGAGCTTAATATTACTTACCCTATTAGACTGCTACAGTGTCCTGGCTATTAACACATTTTATTGATGTTTATAATACTGTTTAAGTGTTACACAAAGTCCTAATGAAAATAACTTTATTTGTTTTATCTACACTTTGAAAGATAAACTGAAATTTAAAATTTTTTAAAGGTTTAAAGAAATTTTCTATTATAATCTTTTAGGAACATTAGCAAGTCATAATGAAAATGCACCTATATTTTTATTTTTCCACAGACATTATACTGATTTTACTATTCTCTTATTTCTTCATATTTATTTTTTAGTAACATTCACTTTAATGAAATCCATTGATTAGTAACTTTCTAAAAGAAAAAAAGATTAAGAATGTTAAAACCTCAAGAATGTTTTTCATTACTAGCCATTAATCAAATGACATACACCAAAATAATTGCTGAATTTTAAGCCAACTTTTTACAGATAACATCTACTATGTATTAGTACAATTCAATATGAGTGCTTTCAGTATACAAATTAAAGAAGATTGAGAATTCAGAAAAGTCTTTAACAACCTATCTGTACTTCTTACCTTATTTAAGTCTTCTCTTTCTTGCTGTAATGTTTTGACTTGTTTCTCATAAGCCTTGATTTGTCTAAAAGCTTCGTCTAGTTCTCGCCTCACTGAATTAGCTTCTTCAAGTTGTTGTTCCAAGTGACTTGATTCTAAAGAGAAAACAGTGTTGTTGATTTTTAACTCTTTGTATAAAAGCAAATGCTTAAAACCAAAGTTTAAAACAACTAAATTAAAATAATATATTTTGAATTGGTATTAGGCTTCCTGACACCACATCCACCATGACTCCTGACAGCTAAGTGCTTCTCACCGTAAAGATGGTGAAGAGCTGGTACCATGGGGAAGATGTGCAAACGCCACACACAGCCATTGGGATACAAGACCGTGCTCCTAATAAAACAGCGCCTGTAGGGCCAGTTAAAGCTGACGAGGAACAAAACTGAACAACACCAGCCACACAAATGAAACAGACTCGTTGTCCTCTATTGTTGGTTGGCATTTGTGTACTGATGTCAGTCAATCATTATAGAATGATTTTGCTTCTAATACTGAGGTTCCAGATCATGCAGCCTGATTTCCCTAGTGATGAATGAAGACTAAACTCTGATTTCTAAAAGTCAGTATTTTAAACCTCCTACTGAGGTCCATTTCTCCATTTTACAGATGAAAACACTGAGGCTCAGGGAGTTAAGAACACGCTGAGGGTCCTATCGCTAAAGGAGCATCAGATCTCAGACCAGAGCCCTGGAATTCTGGCATCAACCTCTCCGAGTCGGAAAGCAATATTATTAAATAATGTTTAACATTACCAGTGGGAAAGATTTATTATGAAAAAATAAAATTATATTTAGTATATGTTTAAGTAATATCTAATGAATTTGTATAAAATGTTTCTATTTAAAGAACTGAAGCCATTTAAACAGAAAAACAAAACATACTCATTGCTAATTCTGCTCAGGATAGTTTCTGTTCTTTACAATCTTGCTACTCGGAGAGTCATGCCCAGAGAGCGTGAGCCTCCTCTGGGGCTGGTTAGAGACGCAGAGTCTCAGGCCCCACTCCAAACTACTGAGCCAGAATCTGCACTTCACCAGGATTCCTGGGTGACCTGTTTGCAAATTAAAGTATGAGAACCGACAGACAAATAATGTACGTTGTTGAGTTTTATACCCTCAGTAAATAAAGTAGCATTTATACTACCTTAGTCCAATTAAAGAGTAAATATTTCACCTGTATAGACAAGTCCTATAGCCAAAAAGTCACTTAAATGTATCACACACTAACTGGTTCAAGATTTCTTAAGTCCAGTAATTTACTACTGCTTAGTGTCCTAAAGTTATAGATTTACTAAAAGCTTATTCATCTGAGGTATTTTGAAAGTCTAAATACTTTTAACAACAGACCCAACCGAAATACAACAGATTGTTACAAAATACTATGAACAACTCTATTCCAACAAATTGAACAACCTGGAGGAAATGGACATATTCCTAGAAAAATACAAACTGCCAAAACTCAACCAGGAAGAATCTAAAAATCTCAATAGACCAGTGACGCGGGAAGAAATTGAAACAGTCATCAAAAATCTTCCAGCAAACAAAAGCCCAGGGCCAGATGGCTTCACAGGAGAGTTTTACCAAACATTCAAGGAAGAACTAAAACCTATCCTCCTCAGACTATTCCAAAAAATCCAAGAGGAAGGAACACTTCCAAACTCCTTCTATGAAGCCAGCATCACCCTAATACCAAAAGCAGACAAAGACAACAAAGAGAATTACAGGCCAATATCCCTCATGAACATAGATGCCAAAATCCTCAACAAAATTCTAGCAAATAGACTCCAGAAGAACATCACAAAGATCATACACCATGACCAAGCAGGATTTATTCCAGGAATGCAAGGATGGTACAATATCCACAAATCAATAAATGTGATACATCACATAAATTGAAAGATAAAAATCATATAGTCATATCAATTGATGCAGAAAAAGCATTTGATAAAATCCAACACCCCTTCCTGATAAAAACTCTTAACAAGGTGGGAGTACAAGGATCATACCTCAACATAATAAAAGCTATATATGATAAACCCACAGCCAACATTATACTCAATGGCAAAAACTAAACCATTCCCTCTAAGAACAGGAACAAGACAGGGATGCCCACTCTCGCCACTCCTGTTTGACATAGTTCTGGAAGTACTAGCCATTGCAATTAGACAAGAGGAGGAAATAAAAGGCATCCAAATTGGAAAAGAAGAAGTAAAGTTATCCTTATTTGCAGAGGACATGGTATTGTACATAAAAAACCCAAAAGACTCCATTAAAAAACTAATTGACTTAATAAATGAATCTGGCAACGTAGCAGGATACAAAATTAATGCCAAGAAACCTATGGCATTTCTATACACCAACAGTGAACTTACAGAAACAGAGACTAAAAAAGCAATCCCATTTACCATCGCACCAAAAAAACTAAGATACCTAGGAATAAACTTAACTAAGGAGATAAAAGTCCTATAGGCGGAAAACATCATGACACTAAAAAAAGAGATAGAGGAAGATGTAAGGAGATGGAAGAACATACCATGTTCATGGATTGGTAGAATCAACATCATCAAAATGTCCATACTTCCTAAAGCAATCTATAAGTTCAATGCACTCCCCATTAAAATACCAACAACATATTTCACTGACCTAGAAAGAACTCTCCAAAAGTTCATTTGGAACAATAAAAGACCCCGAATAGCCACAGCAATCCTGAGAAAGAAGAGTAAAGTAGGAGGGATCTCAATACCAGACTTCAAACTATATTACAAAGCTACTGTTCTCAAAACAGCCTGGAACTGGCACAAAAACAGACATATAGATCAATGGAATCGAATCGAGAACCCAGATATCAACACAAATCACTATGCTCAATTAATATTTGACAAAGGAGGCACGAATATACAATGGAGTCAAGACAGTCTCTTCAATAAATGGTGTTGGGAAAATTGGACAGACACATGCAAAAAAATGAAACTAGATCACCAACTTACACCATTCACAAAAATAAACTCAAAATGGATACAGGACTTAAACATCAGACAGGAAACCATAAAAATACTAGAAGCATCCACAGGCAGCAAAATCTCCGACGTATGCCAAAAGAACTTCTTCACTGATACTGCCCCTAGGGCAATGGAAGCTAAAGAGAAAATAAACAAATGGGACTACATCAAAATAAAAAGCTTTATTACAGCAAAAGAAACCATCAACAAAACAACAAGAAAGCCCACAGTGTGGGAGAACATATTTGCAAATAATACCACTGATAAAGGTTTAATTTCCAACATCTACAGACAGCTTATACAAATAAATAAAAGATGAATGATCCAATTAAAAAATGGGCAATGGACCTAAATAGAATATTTTCAAAAGAAGACAGAAGGAAGGCCAAAAGGCACATGAAAACATGCTCAAAGTCACTAATTGTCCGAGAGGTGCAAATTAAAACAACAATGCGGTACCATCTCACACCTGTCAGAATGGCCAACATCAACAAATCAACAAACAAGTGTTGGCGAGGTTGCGGAGAAAAAGGAACCCTCGTGCACTGCTGGTGGGAATGCAGACTGGTGCAACCACTGTGGAGAACAGTGTGGAGTTTCCTCAAAAAACTGAAAATGGAACTCCCATATGACCCAGTAATCCCACTTCTAGGAATATACCCCAAGAAACTAGAAACACCAATCAGAAAGGATATTTGCACCCCTATGTTCATAGCAGCACAATCTACAATAGTCAGAATTTGGAAACAGCCTAGGTGCCCGTCAGCAGATGATTGGATCCAAAAACTTTGGTACATCTACACAATGGAATACTATGCTGCCATAAAAAAGAAGGAATTCTCATCATTTGCAGCAACCTGGATGGAATTGGAGAACATCATGCTGAGTGAAATAAGCCAATCAATGAAAGAGAAATACCACATGACCTCACTCATTGGTGGACGATAAAGCTCTTTATAAACTGATGAACCAAGAAACAGAGATAGAGAAAGTAAAGCAACAGGCAGACTGTCAAATTACAGTGGGGAGGGGAGGAAGATCTGGGGGAGATAATAGATCAACCGAAGGACTTGTATACATGCATATAAGTACAACCAATGGACATAAAACTCTGGGGAGGGAGGGGATGTGTGGGAGGGAGGAGGGGGGTAAAAAAAAATCAATAAAATATGTAAAAAAATAAAATAAAATAAAATGTGGTTACATTAAAAAAAAAAAAAGAAGAAAGTCTAAATACTTTTATGGATAGTGTAGTTATTTTTAGAATTTTTGAAAATGTATGCAAAGTTGCATTTTGTAACTTGCAAAGGTGCTAAGACTGGAGCCAGAGGGAGATTAATGCAACAATCAAAGCACCTCTCTCTGTCCGCAAGAGCATAATGTCACAGCTTCTCCGTTATGTTCTTCCTCCTAAAATAATTCCTAAGTCCTCCCAGATGAGATTTCCTTCTAGTCAGGGTGGATAGGATATCTATTATGGCCCTATCCATTCACTGTATTTCTCCTTTAGCTACGTGTTAGAGGAGAGAGATGGGGAGAGGAGAGAGGGAGGGAGAGGAGGGAAGAGAGAGACAGAGAGAGGGAGTTAGTTTAGGGTTGGAGAGACAGTACAAGGAGTCACAAACCACCACCATCAAGGCAATAAATGAATGGTGTTAAAAGCACATTACAGCTTACACAAATGCTTTTATTAAAAAAAAATCCATTCTTCATTTTCTCATATAAAAATATTAAATGAGTATGAATTTCTTTTTTGTCTGCAGATATTCAAAGAAGATGTATTAAGTGTCCATTATATGGCACCAGGAAACTCTGTCCTACCTTCTTAAAGTCAGAGTATGCTGAAGAGAACAGACACTAAAGTGAAACTGTGAATAATTATAAATATACTAGAGGCCCAAAGTACACAATTCGTGCAAGGGGCTCAGCCCCCCCCCACTGCGGCCGCATCTGGAAGGACGTCCAGTCTAATTAGCATATTGTGCTTTTATTATTATAGATTAAATTTTTCTAGGAGTTTTAAAATATTGGAAAATGTTGCCACCTGGCCAGAGTGGCTCAATGGTGAGTGAGTACCCATGAACCAGGAGGTCATGTTTCTATTCCCAGTCCGGGCACATGCCCAAGTTGCAGGCTTGATCCCCAGTAAGGGCCGTGCAGGAGGCTGCTGATCAATGAATCTCTCTCATCAATGATTTTCTATCTCTCTCCCTTGCCCTTCTTCTCTGAAATAAACATATTAAAAAGAAAAAAGAAAATGTTGCCATAGGGAAAGAAAAGACATAAAAACCTTAATAGTGGGCAATTTGTTTACACAAAGGTTTTGCCTAAGAAGTATCCAGAGAAACATTGGATCATATGCTCAGCAAAAACATATCTTAGGAATGAGGGCGAATTTAAGTCATTCTCAGATGAAGAAAAACAAAGAATTTGTTAGCAGGCCAACCTTTTAAAAAAATGGCTGAACGAAGTTCTCTAAACAGAAAGCAAACAAGGAACTCAGCAATTTCAGGAAGGAAGGAAGAACATGGCATATAAAAATATGAGTAAATACAATTGAGTTTTTTTTCTTCTCTAGAGTTTTCTAAATTATATCTCATGATGGAAGGAAACATTATAAACTTGTCTGATGTGCTTCCAAAACATGTGAAGAGGAAATACTTAAAACAATTATATAATGAACAGGGAGAAGAAATATCATAGTTACCAACACAAAACACTGCTCTGTCTCTACACCTAATGAGATCATGTGATGACTCTAAACCCTGAAAAGGTTGTCTCCCTCAGAAAAAATCCAAAGCTCTTAAAACACTCAGTAAGAAGCTGCTGACCAGGCAAAAGCCCTCTGTACCACTACTTCCCCAGCCTCGGCTCCTGCCTTCTCCCTGCTTGCTCATTCTATGCCAGCCATGCTGTCCTCGGTGTTCTGACTCATCTCCAGGGGCTCATTCTGACGCTAGGGCCCTTGCACTGGCTGGTCCTTCTTAGAACGTAAGTTCCCAATACAACTGCTGGCTGAGCCATACCCATCTTCCAGGTTTTGTTCACAGGTCGCCTTCCCAATGAGGCTTACACCTGGGTCCACTAAAATCTAGAACTCATCCTGCACTTGCAACCCTCATCCTGCTCTTGTCCCTTCTAGAATCCCGAGAGCCTAAAACAACATCTGGTACACATAGTAGGTGCTCAATAAGTATTTATTAAACGAATAAAATAAATAAATGAATGGATATAACAGGTATATTAAGAATTGTCCATATTAATTTTCATCTATCTCAGCAATACACTGGAAAAAAAAATTAGATCTAGTAATAATTAATGTCGTTTTCTAATACTTTTTTTAAATCAAATTTATTTAAACAATACAACAAAATTTAATCAACAATATAGTTGCCGTTGTTTTCTACTACTTGTGCTCAACGCTCAGGAAGCATTTTAATCCTCTGTTGTAAAATTCTTGTGATTTTGATGCAAAAAATTTGGTCAATGCATTTTTGAGGCATTCTTCATTATTAAATTTTTTCCCAAGAAGAAAGTTTTGCGAAGAACGAAACAAATGGTAATCGGAAGGGGCAATATCAGGAGAATATTCAGGTTGAGGGAGAACTTCCCATTCCAACTGGCGCAGTTTTTCAGCAGTGATTCTTGCAGTATGCGGTCATGCGTTATCGTGGTGAAGAATTATGCCCTTCTGATTAATCAGCGCGGGTTCTTTTTCTCTTAAAGCTTGGGCTAACCTTTCCAATTGGGCACTATACACTGCACTTGTAATGGTTTGGTTAGATGGTAAAAGTTCATAATGAAGAATTCCTTTAAAATTCCACCAAACACACAACATCACTTTTTTCGCATGCAAGTCAGGTTTTGGCGTGGGCTGCGGAGCCTCATTTTTGTCCAACCATTGAGGCCGCCTTTTCAAATTAACATACAGCACCCATTTTTCATCTCCGGTAACAATTTGCTCTAAAAACGGCAAACGGTTTTGGCGAGAGAGGAGCGAACTGCAAATTGTGACTCTTTGATTACGGTTGTTGTCGGTCAACTCATGAGGAACCCATTTTCCAAACTTTTGGACTTTGCCAAGTGCACGCAATTGATTGGAAATTGTTTTTTGTGAACAATTTAAAGTTGTCGCAAGCTCTTGTTGGGTAATTTGAGGATTTTGCACCAAAAGAGCTTGAAGAGCTTCTTGATCAAAATTGGACACACGGCCTCGACCACTCTTGTCATCTAACGAAAAATTTCCCTCGCGAAATTTCTCAAACCAACGCTGGCATTTTCTGGCACTAACTGCATCTTGACCAAGAGCACTACAGATGTTTTTTGCAACCTCACTTGCTTTTCTTCCTAATTGGAACTCGTAAAGCATGCAGTGCCGAATATGCTCTTCATCCGCCATCTTCTTAGCCCTAGTTTTGCAACAAAAACCAAACCAAACACAAACTTTTTCAAGCAAAACTTGTTAATTGCACTTCACACGTTCTGTAGATACCACGTGTTTGAAGGTTATGTCAATACAAGTCAATGCCAAGCAAGATTTTAAACGAATGTTAAAAACGACATTAATTATTACTAGACCCGATAAGTTACCCAAAAAAAAAAAAAAAAAAAAAAAATTCATATGCCTTAATGAGTGCATACATGCAGTTCCCTTGTTCGTCCTTCCTCATGTCTAACACTCTTTCACCTACTCATATGTATACTTTACCAGACAAATTCCAATTAAATATTCCAAACTAATAGGTCTTCCCAAAGTCATCTTTGTGAACTTAAATCTGGGTGAGGCGCTCCTCCTATGCACGCTCCATGCACCTACGCCTGCTTTTCTGATGGTCTTTACGCGCTTATTGCAGAAACTATTTGTTTATCTTTCTCCCAGACCAAAACGTGAGCTCCTGGAAGCAGAAACCATGCTGATTTGCCTCTACGTCACTGGCACCTAGCCCATACCATACCACACATGATACATGCGTGTTCAATAAATGTTCTGTGTGTTTAAGTAGAATATTTTTAAAAGTCTACTAAACTTAATTAATAGTGAATCACAGAAATTTACCTCTTACTTGTTTCCTTAGTTTTTCAATTTCTTCTTTTAAACTTTTTATTTCTAAATCTTTGCTTGCTGTTAGTGGACCATCAACAGTTGAATGCTGCAGAGCTTGCACAGTCTGTGTTGACTCTTAAAAAAAGAGAGAATAAAATAATAAATAAGAAAGCTGGCCATACACTATACTTTCAAAGCTAATGGCAATATGTACTTCTTTCTAGAGAAACCCTTATATAATTCTACTACTAAAAACACCTACCCGTTGAAAACAAGCACGTAAACACATTAAAATTAAATCACAAAACTCCACGTATCTGTCTTTATACAACACTAGAGGCTTCTAGACTGATGGCTTAGGCCGGCTCCTCCCACCCCCACTGCGCTCACCAGCCATGAGCCTGGCTTCTGGCTGAGCGTTGCTTCTCCTATGGGAGCGCATGGACCACCAGGGGGCAGCTCTTGTGTTGAGCACCTGCCTCTTGGTGTTCCGTGCACGTCATTGCAAAGGTTGTTCCGCAGTCGGGCAGAAACTGGCTTCCCGACATCCCTTGAGGGGTCCCAGATTGCTAGAGGGCGCAGGCCAGGCCAAGGGACCCCATCAGTGCATGACTGAGGCCAGGGAGAAATGTGGAAGGTTAGCCAGCCAGGGAGGGCTCCAGGGCAGGTCCTGCCTGTTCTGCTCAGTCCAGATCAGCCAGATTCCAGCAGCAAGCTAACCTACCAGTTGGAGTGTCTGCCCCCTGGTGGTCAGTGCATGCCACAGCAAGCGGTTGAGCAGCCTTAGCATATCATTAGATAGGTTGAATGGCAATGGGACAACTGGACATTTAGCATATTAGGCTTTTATTGTATAGGATTATATAGGATACAGGGTGGGGCAAAAGTAGGTTTACATTTGTCCATATGGAAAATTATACATTAATTAAGAAATAATAACACACGAATAAATTGTGTTTCGTGTACTCACAACAGTAAACCTACTTTTGCCCCAGCTGTATGTAGGACAGTGGCATCATTTGGAAAATGTTCTGTCGGATGACATATGAAAAAACTGAGCCTGGTGTGTGAAGGAAGGTCTGGGGTGTTAATATACAAGATGTAGAACTGCTGGCCTTCCAATCTGTGTGCATGAAAGTTGAGAGGCCCACTTACAAGTGACTGGCTCATCACGTTAGTTCGAATAGAGATTATTTATCTTGTGGTTCTAATGAGAAGATGCACGGTACTAAGGAAGCCTTCATTCTATTAAGGCTTATTCCCAGGTAGTATCAAAAGATATGGGGGGAAACTTAAAACCACTTATGTCAGAAATGAAATTACCCCCATCCTAAAGTAGTCATTCTGCTACCTGATGGAGGGTTCCCAGATAGTAAGACCTGGCCTTACCACAATCTTCGTTAGTACACGTCATGCACCGCTTCACACACTATGTTCGGAGAAATGCAGTAGCAATATCAGCATTGAATGCCATAGAGTGCATGTACACAAACCCTGACAGCAGACGGACGTAACTGTACGTGCTCTGTTTCTGTATGACCGGCGGCACAGTAGATTTGTTTACTCCAGCATCACCATAAACAGTAATGTGCTGCTCTGTAACTTTTTGACAGCTATGATGTCACTAAGCCATACGAGTTTTTCATTCCATTATAACTTTATGGTGTCACCATGTGGCCCATTGTTCACTGAAATGACATTTCTGTGTCTGCCTGCATTTACTAATATACTGCTTTATATAACTTATTACTTATATAACATATTACTTAAATATATCATTATACATTTATCTCCAAAAATTTGTCACCTACAGAGAAGAGAGATTTTCGAATAATCTTTGCCATCTGTATGGAGAAATCATCATCATGCACAGCTGTCATAAATATTTGTTAATTTGACTTAAAGGCGTAAGATATACCATACTGCTCATCTAATCATGATCTACATTCAATAGCCATTTATCCATCTTTGGGTTTAAACATGCTAAAAACTGGTGCTTTTTGTATTTATTGCTTTTAAAAGAACATCTTTTGTTTATTTTAAAGACATCTAAGTTGGGATTAGAAAATGGGGAGATATAAAAATGCCTAATGGACATGTTGAAGCCAGAGACAAATGAGATCATGCTATGTGATACCATTTATATGAAATTCAAGAACAGGTAAAATTAATTACGAGTGAAAAGAATTAAAACAGTGTTTACTTCAGAGTGGTGGAAAACAGACTGGCGAGAGGCATGAGGGACTTGGTGCTCACTACAAGTATTTCATACATGGCCTGGGCAGTGGGTGACATGAATGTACACATATAAACCTTTATGGGGCTTCCACTTAAAGGAGTACCTGCTCACCTTGCTACATGCCAACACCATTTAAACATCCATCAGGGTGACACCACATCACGGCGACATGGACACTCCTCTTTTCTCTCTCCTCAGATTTACAACTAATTGGACATCCATACGTTAACGAAGTGCCTCGCATGGCACTCCGGCATCTCCATGGACCCATCCACCTGCGTATCCAGATGGCGGGTTTGACCTACAGGAGGCTATGGAGCCACGGGAGTCACCGCAGTGGTGACTCCAGGAGGCAGTAGGAGGCAGACAGTAAAGTGGGACTGGCCAAGCCAGGAGGCCACAGCCGGAGGAGCCTGGGCTCTCAGCGCCTGGCCTCCAGAGGAGAGACCTCGGTGACGGGAGGCAGAGGAGAGGGAAGAGGCAGACAGAGAGCTAAATGTCCTGCTGTCGGCCCACAGACCTCTGGGATGCCCCAACTTGAGAATTCCCTCACCAGCCCCACGTGTTAAGCACACACCTCGCCCTACCCGGACACCAGCATATTAAGCATATTCCAAGTTGAAAGTCAGTAACTTTAAGAGAAATAAAAAATGTGTGCTATCGCCACTTTTTGGAAAACAAAAGAAGGGCTTCTGGTTGCCAAGCTATTGAACTGCTAGAACCAAAGAGAACCAAGTCTTACCTAAATAAGAAAGAGATTTGCTTCTTCAAATGTGACGACAGAGGCACATTTCAGGAACACTGAAAGAGCATAGTAATACAGAAAGAAAGTGACAATTCTCCAGCAACCAAACTCAAAGACATGGAATGCTGAAATCTGATGAAGAGTTCAAAATTGCTGTTATAAAAAAATTCAACAAACTAAAAGAAAACTCAGAAAGGCAATTCAGTGAACTCTGGAATAAAAATAATGAACAGAATAAGTAATTCCCAAAGAGGTTTAAATTAAAAAACCAAGGAAAAATTCTGGAGCTGAAGAACTTAGTAAATGAGATGAAGAATGCATCAGAAAGTGCTGGAAATAGAGTAGACCACACGGAAGAGAGTATAGCAATCTGTATGACAGGTAATAGAAATGACTCAGGTGGAAAAGAAAGAATTAATATTCTAAAAAGAGAAGAAAAACTGTAATAGTTATCTGACTCCACTAAAGAAGTCAACATATGAATGGGCATACCAAAAGTCTGGGGGGGATAACGGAACAGAGAACTTAATTAAAGAAATAGTAGATAAGAACTTCCCAAACATGAAGAAAAGAACTAGACATGCAGTCCACGAAGCTGAAAGAACACTGTACTACCTCAATACAAAAAGACCTTCGAGCTGGACCGGCTGGCATAGCTCAGTGGTTGAGCATCAACCTATGAACCAGGTCACAGTTTGATTCCTGGTCAGGGCACATGCCTGGGTTGCTGGCTCGTTCCCCAATGGGGGCAGCCAGGAGGCAGCTAATCAACGATTCTCTCTCATCATTCACGTTTCTATCTCTCTCTCCCTCTCCAATCCTCTCTGAAGTCAATAAAAGTATAACATTTTTTAAAAAGACCTTTAACCCACATTAAATGAATTATCAAAAATCAATGACAAAGACCTAATTTTAAGGACAACTGGGGGTGGGGGAAGAAGTAAATTACAAAGGAACCCATGAGGGTATCAGCAGATTTCTCAGAGGAAATTCTCCAGTTCAGGAGAAGGTAGAATCACATACTCAAAGACCTGAAAGGTAAAAACTGCCAGCCAAGAATACTCTATCTACATTAAAGAGAAACAAAGGCTTTCCCAAATAAACAAAAGCTGAGTGAGTTCACTACTAGATTTGCCTTATAAGAAATGCTGAAATGGTCTCTTCAAGCTAAAATGAGAAGATTATGGTGATAGATAATAAGAAGTAGAAAACTGTAACTCTATTTTAATTTCTAATTATAGCAAATGTTAAAGGTAAAAAGCATTGAAAATTAACTATAGCTACTACTATTTGGTAACAAATTCACACCAAAGAGAGATAATTTATGACATCAAAAATATAAAAAAGAGGAGTAAAAGAACAGAAGCTTTATAGGTGAGTGAAGATAAAAAGGATTATTTTATCTGTAAGATGTTTTATGTAAACTTCATGGTAATCACAAAGCAAAACTATAGCGCATAGATACAAAACAAAAAAGGGGGTGAGAGGAGAATGAGCATATTACCGTGGAAACCCATCTACTTACAAAGGTGAACAGAAACAGAAAAGAGGGAAATGGAGATTCAAAATCAACAGGAGGAAAAAGGATAAAATAATAGCAGTAAGTCCTTACATATCAATAACCACCATGAATGTGAATGGACTGAACTCACCAATCAAAAGGCACAGAGTGGCTGGCTGGATTAGAAAACAAGATCCAACTAGCTGCTGCCTGCGGAGACTCATTTCAATCTTATAGGCACAGAGAGGTGCGAAGGGCAAGGATAAAGGATGAAGCATTGTATGGAGATCACTTACATGCATATCTACACTAATAAAAGAGTAGGATGCAAATTTATCATACCTTTGCAACACCAACCAATCAGGAGTGAGTATGCAAATTAACCCAACAAAGATGGTGGGTTAATTTGCATATACAGACACCAAGTAGCCAGGGGCAGGGTTGGACACTTGTGTCATCACTCCGGGCCTCTGGGCAGCATAGAAAGGCGGAAAGGTGGCTCTGGGCCGGAGTGAAAAGCCGGTCCCGGCAGCCAGGGGAAGGAAGGCCCGTTCTTGCACATGGCCTCTAGTCAATGAATAAATGGATAAGATGTGGTATACACACGATGGAATATTATTCAACCATGAGAAAGAAAGATATTCTGTCATCTGCAACAACATGACTAGACCATAAGGGCATTATGTTAAGTTGAGATAAGTCAGACTGAAAAAATAAAGGACTGTATGATATCACTTTTACGTGAAATCCAAAAAAGTCACACTCATAAAGAATAGGGTAAAATAGCCAAAACCGGTTTGGCTCAGTGGATAGAGCATCGGTTTGCGGACTGAAAGATCCCAGGTCCGATTCCGGTCAAGGGCATGTACATTGGTTGCGGGCACACCCCCAGTGGGGGGTGTGCAAGAGGCAGCTGGTCGATGTTTCTCTCTCATTGATGTTTCTAGCTCTCTATCCTCCCTTCCTCTCTGTGAAAAGTCAATAAAATATATTTTAAAAAAAATAGGGTAAAATAGCAGTTACTAGGGTGTGGGGATGAGGGATAAGATTGATGATGTTTAAATATACAAACTTGCAACAAGTAGTAAATAAGCCACAGAGAGCTAATACAGGGTATTAATAAGTGTAGTACTATATTTTATGCTATACTAGAGGCCCAGCGCGCACGAAATTGTGCATGGTTAGGGTCCCTAGGCCTAGCCTGGCCTGGCCTCTGTCACATGACCCTGCGACACGATGTGAAGCCCCTGCCCCAGAATGCTCCGCAATGCTCTCGGCCCCTCGACTGCTCGGTGCAGCTTGCTGCTGCCCTGCGTTACTCGCCGCTGGACTCTGAGAAACTCCCCGGCCCCGAGACTGCTTTGCGAATCTCGCTGCCGCCCGGGTGACTACTTTGCTAAGCTCACAGCCACCCCACCGCCACCGCCCTTCAATAGTCCCCAGTCCCGCCCCGCTGCCAGCCGCCCCTCACGGTGAGCGGCTCGGGGCTGGGGGAGGGGGCACTGAGAGGTGCTCCCTGCACTTCATGGTGACCGGTCGCCCGTTCAGTCGTGATGCCACCGAGCTCTCTCTCTATATATGAGGAAGGATGTAACATGATAGAGGTGCTGATATCACAACAGAAATCACATTACAGTAATGAAATGCACTAAGTTAACACTATGCACCTTAAATTATTCAATGTTATAGGTCAAATATATTTAATAAACTACCTTGCATGAGAAAGGGGGAGTAATTTTCCATGCAGCTATCTTAGCAACATATTGGAAAAACAGAATATTGTCTGTTTTATTGGTGTCTACAGAGTCTTTCTCTCTACTGGGCCCCTAATGCATAACCGCAACATTTTATTATTGTAAAACTCTCTCTTTTAAGAACTACAAGTTTCTTGACTATATGCACACTGTTTCATTTGATGTCAGAAAATGAATTAAGGGCCAAAACCGGTTTGGCTCAGTGGATAGAGCGTTAGCCTGTGGACCGAAAGGTCCCGGGTTCGATTCCAGTCAAGGGCATGTACCTTTGTTGCGGGAACATCCCCAGTGTGGGGTGTGCAAGAAGCAGCTGATCAATGAATCTCTCTCATCGATGTTTCTAACTCTCTATCCCTCTCCTTTCCTCTCTGTAAAAAATCAATAGTATATATATATATTTTTAAAAATGAATTAAGTAAAATACATTGCAAGTTACATTCTGTAGTTTGGAGAAAATAAAGCAGGAAAGGGGGTGAGTGCTGGGAATAAAGGAGGATTCCATTTGCATTAGAATGGTCAGGAAGGACTCATTGAAAGGTAGCTTTCAAGTAGAGACTGCAGGAGGCAAGGGAATGAATCATGTGTGTTCATGTGAACACCACAGGAAGAACACTGAGGGCAGGACAAGAGCTACAGCCAAGGCCCCAAGGTGGGGATGTGCCCAGTTCGAGGAAAGAACAGCCAGGAGCCCAGGGTGGCCAGAATGGAAAGAACAAAGGAGAGAGGAGTAAGGGCTGCAGCCAGAAAGGGAGCACCAGCTGGATCCTATGTGAAAGGAGTTTGAGAGAGTCAGGCAGGGAGCCAATTAGGAAGCGATGGCAGTGAGAACTGACGACGATCTGGAACAGGTGGCAGCACCACCGGCGTGGCCAGCAGATTCCAGGCCCACGGTAGTGGCAGAGCTGCCCAGATCCACTGACTGGTCTGATGTGAGGTGTGCGGGTGAGAGGGTTAAAGACAACGCTAAGGTTTTAGTTCTGAACAACTCAAATCATGGAATATTCTGGAGTATTCTAACATTTAGTCATCAAAGAGTGAAGGAGAGACATCAGCACACGAGAATGAGAATAAGTGGCTCCTAAGGAAAAAGACAATCAGGAGATTAACGTGCCCGGAGGGGGAGTGGCCAACAGGGTGAAAGGCGGGTGGTGACAAGATGAGCCCTGGGAAATGATTGCTGGGTTTTGCAACACAGGGTAGGAAAATGGGCTCAGGAAAAAGTAGGACTTCTGGGCGGGATTAAGACTCAGTCTGAGATTAGTGTTCATGAATGTGAAGCAATCAGCATAATGTGTGTTTTAAGTAAGCTCCCTTCAGTCGCAGTTAAAGATGTGATGCTGAATGTAACAGGACTGGGGTTCTTCCAAAGGCATCTGACAAACAAAAAGAGGACAACAGACTTGAGAGTATATGGAAGGGTATGATGACAGATGGCACAGCATGAGAACTGAGGGCAGAAGAGGAGCCATGGCAGAGGGATAGAATTGTAGGTGATAGGACTTATAATCCTATATAATAAAAAGGTAGTATGCAAATTGACCCTCACACTTTCACAAGATGGCTGCCTATGGGATGACCAAATGACTGAACAAGCAGGCTGTGTGGGGCAACCAGGCAGGCAGGCAGGTGAGTGATTAGAAGCCAGCAGTCCATGGTTGTGAGAGGGATGTATGACGGCCAGTTTAGGCCCAATCCCCAGGGTTGGGCCTAAACCAGCAGTCAGACATCTCCCAAGGGGTCCTGGATTGGAAAGGGTGCAGACTGGGCTGAGAGGGAGGGGAACCCGTGTGTCCCCCCCGTCCCACCCCCCCCCCCGCACAAATTTCATGCACCGGGCCTCTAGTCTGATAGATAAAGCACCTGAATTAACCTAAAAAATAATCATATTATTTTAAATCTTAGAACAGGTATTGAATAGAGGGTTCAAGTTTTTAAATTTCCTTTTCAAGGCCTGTGCGCAGTGATTAAGGGGGTGACTCAGCTGTGGATCCAGCAAGCAGAACCAATAAGCAGGGTCAGACCGACCCACCAGGAGTCAAAACATCATCCCATCAACACAACTCAGTGAAGGACAACAGCTGATGTCTGCGGACTCCAAGGCTGTGTGTAACTGCATTCCGTCCCTGCCTCTCCTACCCCTAAGCCCATCCCCTTTCTGTCCTGTCCCTGCACCTGCTGTGAAACAGAATTTGAGTGCTTGTAAGCACCCTGTCTTCTTGGCTGACTGGCCTTCTCAATAAACACCTTATGTGACTCAACCCAGCCTTTGCTCCTGGACACAGCTACAGGCAGCCGGAAGCCCAACCAGGGTTTTCCAGATAACATAGGTGATGGTGGAAGGAAAGGAATATTGGAGGTGAGTCACCGGAGGGAGTAAACTGGAAAATTACAAGCAAGAGATTATGTGAGATTTGCTTGAAGTAGGAATTAATAAAGAATTTTAGATACTGTAATCTCAAGATACCCTACTATCACGAGGAGTGGATGAGGTACAGTTGGAAGACAAAATCATCGAAGGTAAGAATTGAGACCAAGAAGTAAGAATATTAAAAGCTTCACCATCTTATAAAATGTGCATCTATTTTTCTTTGCTAACCCTCACCTGAGGATATTTTTTCCATTGCTTCTCAGAGGGAGAGAAAGGGAGAAGGAGAGAGAGAGAGAGAGAGAGAGAGAGAGAGAGAGAGAGAGAGAGAGAGGGAGAGAGATAGATATCCACGTGAGAGTCACATCAGCTGGCTGCTTCTTGCGCACACGCTGGCCAGGGCAGGGAGAATACCTGCCACTTAGGTATGAGGCCTTGACCAGGAATAGAACCCTCAGTCCCTGAGCACACCAGCCAGAGCACCGAGGTGCATTTAAAGCCATCAGACTTTACACACTACTCATGCTGTAGAGAATGACAGTTCCCTAAGAGCTAGAAGTTTTAAAGGTCGAGGAAATTAACAGGAAAAGTAACAGAAAATGTTTTTCTGGGAGGAGAAGGGCTCCTTTTTCCTAGTAGTCCCACTTTCCGCTCCCCAGAGACATTTATTCCACACATCCTTATAGTGTGTGTGTGTGTGTGTGTGTGTGTGTGTGTGTGTAAACATGTACATACATACATCTGTGGAAACAAATGCCATTTTGTTTACTATTAATTTTGTGCCTTTCCATAAATATTATACTGTATTTTGCATAAATTTCTACAACTTAATTTTTTTCTACTTAACAAAAAAAAACTTTTTTCAAGAGAAAACCACCACTTACTGTATAATGAGCAGTTCCTAACACTGTGAGTCCAGCTCAAAAAAGGAAAAATGTTTTCATTAAAATATTTACCTTGAAGCTTTCTACTCAGTTCCAGCTTTTCCTGTTCGAGGCGTTTGATTCTCCTCTCGTAAGCCTCGGTGGCCAGGTTGTTGTCCAGCGTCCTCTGGACGTTGGCGTCCACGTCCAGGGAGGCGGGAGCAGCTGTGACCCTCAGACAGCTCCGATCGGAGAGAACACTGGAGAAAAGACAAATTGGCTCACACTGAGAACGACTCCGTAACCTCTGGAAACACGGATCTGAACAGCCGTTACGTCAGCGATCTAGAATGACTGTCACTTTCCCCCCCCACCAAAATCAGCATAAACGACTTTCTAGAAGCATTTTTAAAAATGAAAACTTAAATTGCCCAAATTACCTTGCATTTCTGTTAATAAACAAAAATTATAAAATGACGTTTGCTGAAGGGTTATTGGTGGCTTGAAACGATGTAACCATCCATGTGAATCACTAGTCAAAAGCACCAACCATGGACCCTTCACCGGAAGTTGGAATTCAAAAGCGAAATGCTCTCTTTAATGCAATGCAATTTTAAAAACCTATTAAATACTGGACACGCAGCAGTGAGCAAAACCAAGCCTGCCCAATGTGGAGTTTATATTCCAGTGACAAAAATAAACAGGATAAATAAGTAAAATATTCAGTACATTAGATAGTGTTAAATGCTACGGAGAAAACAAGAGCAGGAAGGGAGGAAATGGAGGTCTGAGAGGGAGAAGATAAAAATGTAGGTCAAGTGGTCAGGAAAGTCATCGCCAGACAGTAGCTGGAAATAAAGTCCCGAGAGAGAGGACCCCAGGGTATGGGGAGCAGCAGCCTGGGCATGTGGTCTAGATGCACAAAAGCCCTGACACAGAGGAGGACGGCATGTCCCCGGGCCAGGAAGGAGGCCTGAGTGGCGGGCGTGGAGTGAGGCAGGGAGTAGCAGGAGCAGACACAAGCAGCCAGATGACACTCGGAGGTAAGGTACAAAGTAGCCAGAGGTGGGGACAGTCCTGAAGGGGAATGACATGTTCAGGGTTAGAGACAATAAGAATCAAAGTGGTGAGCATTTGAAGTAGGTGGGTAAGAGACTCAGTAGAAGAGAGGAACGCAGCCTTAGGCTGGAGGTACACAGTAGGAGCATCGTAAGTCCCCCAGCGTGTAAGGGAAAGACCCAAAGATGAAGCTATGGAGAAGGAGGCCGCAGGTGTAGGGCTGAGAGGGCGTGGCCAGAAGGTAAGAAAAATCAGGCAGGTGCCCTGAAGCTAAGAGAAGAGCCTGTTTTAATGGAAAGGAAACATGACAAATAAGAGGAGCCTGGGGAACTAAGACCAAGAAATTATCCTTAGTCCGGTTGGTGTGGCTCCGTGGCTGAGCTTCAAACCCTGACCAAGAGGCCCCGGTTCAATTCCCGGTCAGGGCACATGCCCGGGTTGCAGGCTCAATCCCCTAGTGGAAGGCATGGAGGAGGCAGCTGATCGATGATGTTTCTCTCTCATTGATGTTGATGTTTCTCTCTCTCTCTCTCTCTCTCTCCCTTCCTCTCTCTCTAAAAGTCAATAAAAACATTTTTTAAAAAAAGAAATGATCATTCAATTTAGCAACATGGAGGTCAGTGGTGACATGGATAAAAGCAGCTCGCATGAAGTGATGAGTACAGAGTGGTGTCAGATGAGTACAGGGTGGTGTCAGAAAGAATAGAATGAGGAAAAAAATCACAAGATACGTACAGCAGCTGGATGTAACTTGGTTATAATGTGGAGCTGAGGAAGGTTGGTCGCAAGGGCAAAGAAAGTGGTAAGAAGAAAGACTTTACACTGTGCTTTGAGGTGGGAGAGAAAACCGGCATGTCTGTGGGCTCATGTGAATGATCTGCTATACCAATGACACAGAAAAGGAAAAACCTGTAACAGCAAGCAAAGCACTAGCGTAGACAAGATGGGACGGACGGACTCAGTTCATGCCCAGAAAGGAGGATACATGGGTGCAGAGATATGCAGGTGGCAAACATGATGGGAGCTATGGAAGTCATCGACTGGCTGCTTCAACCTCTTAGTCAAAGAGCAGAGAGATCGCCAGTGGAGAGTGCGGGTGACAGAGGTTTTAGAGGAACATCTGCAGCGTAAAACAGACAGCAAGAGAGTGGAAGAGGGCTACGTGGGGGTAACACGGCACATGTGGCATGCAGTAAGAAGGGAGGTTGCCATGCAACTGGAGGTTGGTAATCATGATCGTAAAGTGAGACCAGTGAGAATGGTCACAGATTTTTTTTCTAGACACTGACTGCACAGGTACAGGCAGAAAGTTGAATTGTGATAATGAATGTCAACTTAGCAAAACTAGCCTAACAAAATGAGATAGTTAAAGAATTGAGGGAGCACTTATAAGGGCTGATGACAGTTATTGTCCTTGAAATTTAAACTGAGTAAGGAGTAAAAAGAAGGTATGAGTGGAAGGAGGGTCAGTTAAAAGCTGGTCAGGATTAATGAGTTGAAAGTGCTGATTCTTGACACGTAGAGAAAATGTATTCAATAGCAAAGGGACTCCTCTAATTGCTGCCCCACTGTTAATAGTTAGATTCTGGGCTAACTGTTCTATTCTTTCTCCTCCAAAATGAGTTGTGATTCTTCTATGTTCTATTCCTTTTGAAATATCTAACTTATTCCAGTAGTAGCTTCACCATTTTTAAAATTTTTGATTTACAAAGTTGTTTTATACATTATACATTTTCAAACAATTCATGTTAATTTGTCCAAATTGTGTTAACTTTTCAAACTTACCAGCTACTAGTATAGGTAAAACCGACAAATGGCAGATGGTGGCCAGAAAACGCAGTGTGTGTTGGTGGGGGCATCGTTTCCTACAGGGGATAAAAACATCTGGTAAGAAATAAACAACCACGGCCTGTGGGCTGGACTATACATATTAACTGTCAATTGGCGATATGGGACTGTCCAATTTAGAACCACTGAAAAGTTTGGAACAGATATTTAGGTGGTATAATATTTAGACCATAAACATTGCTATTGTAAAATTCTAATAAAATGAAAATAAAGATGAAAAGTCTGATGCTGAGTACAGTAATTTTTCATGTAGTCCATATTTGCAAACTTGCCTGATCACTAGATTTATCTGTAACCCAATTAATAGTCGCAGAACTAAATTTAGCACAGCGGTCGCCAACCTCCCGGACCTCACAGACCACCAGCGGTCAGTCTGGGGGCCTCCGGCTGGCGGCGGCCGCTTTAGCGGACATGTCCATAGCCCAGGAGCCCAGATTTCCCACACACACATTCCCAGCTGGGGCTGAACACCGGATGCTTGTCTTCTTTCTTCGTCTCTCAGACTGTAAAGTGTTCTTGCAGGGTCTAAGTGCACCGTGCTTTTCATTTTTGTGCCTTTTGTGGATGCTTTTGCTGTTAAACTGGCCCCCATAGTACTCAAGTGCCATCTTTTGTTCCTAAGCAAAAAGGCTGTGTGATGTCTCACCAAATGCTGTGTTTAGATAAGCTTCCTTCAGCCTGAGTCACAGAGCTGTTGGCAGTGAGTCCAGTGTTAATCAACCAACAATTTCTACTAAATAAGGGACCTTGAAGTAGAAACACAGATAAAACAAGGTTATGTATTTATCGGTTGACAAACATGTCTTGACCACAGGCTCACAGGATCCTAACTCTATTTTCCTTAGGGGCAATGGTTCAACATTCATTATTAGAGTGTTACTGAATGTAACTACTCTACGTAATCAGAACTGATTTAATTAGGAATGATTCACAATTTCTGTTAGCAGTAAATATAATTCCTATAAAAAAGCACTGATGTGGCCAAGACCGGTTTGGCTCAATGGATGAGCGTTGGCTTGGGGACTGAAGGGTCCCGGGTTCGATTCCGGTCAAGGGCATGCATCTTGGTTGCGGGCAGATCCCCAGTAGGGGGTGTGCAAGAGGCAGCTGATCGATGTTCCTAACTCTCTATCTCTCTCCCTTCCTCTCTGTACAAAATCAATAAAATATATTAAAAAAAAAAAAAAGTCTAATTCTTTTTTTGTGAGGTTCAGAGAGGAAAGTATAAGAGAGACTCTTATTTTTTACTGAATTTATTGAGGTGACATTGGTTAATGAAGTTATATAGGCTTCGGGTGTACAGATCTATAATACATCATTTGTATATGGTGTTGTGTGCTCTCTACCCCAAGTTGAGTCTCCTATCATCACTGATGCTCCCATTACCTCCTCTATACCTTTACCCCCCTTTCCACCTCTGATAATGACCATATTGTTGTCTGAGTTCGTTTATTATTATTATTATTATTATTATCATCAATATTAGAGGCCCAGTGCGTGAAATTCATGCATGGTGGTAGTAGGGGATGTCCCGCAGCCCAGCGTGCACCCTCTCCAATCTGGGACCCCAAGAGGGATGTCTGATTGCCCAATCCAGGTCTTCTGGCTCCCAACTTCTCACCTGCCTGCCAGCCTGATTACCCCCTAACCACTCCCATGCCAGCCTGATAGATGTTTATCTGCTCCCCTGCCAGCCTGTTTGCCCCCAACTTCCCTCCTCTGCTGACCTGGTCACCCTTAACTGCCCTCCCCTGCAGGGTTAATTCTCCAACTGCCCTCCCTTGCAGACCTGGTCCCTCTCAACTCCCCTCCCCTGCTGGCCATCTTGTATCCACATGGGGGCAGCCATCTTGTGTGTTGGAGGGATGGTCAATCTGCACATTACTCTTTTATTAGATAGGATTCCCTTCACCTTTTCACCCAGCTCCCCAATATTCCCCCACCCCAACAGCTGTCAGTCTGTTCTCTGTATCTATGAGTCTGTTTCTATTTTGTTTGTTTGTTTATTTTGTTCACTAGATTCCACGTATAAGAGAAGTCACACAGTACTTGTCTTCCTCTTATCTGCCCTGAATATGGTACTTACTGAACAGTGAAAAGTGATAGAAAATTAATATAAAAATTCTTAGTGCAGCCGAAACCGGTTTGGCTCAGTGGTAGAGCGTTAGTCTGCGGACTGAAAGGTCCCAAGTTCAATTCTGGTCAAGCGCATGTACGTTGGTTGCGGGTACATCACCGGTAGGTGGTGTGCAAGAGGCAGCTGGTCGATGTTTCTCTCTCATCGACGTTTCTAGCTCTCTATCTCTCTCCCTTCCTCTCTGTAAGAAATCAATAAAATATATTTTAAAAAATTCTTAGTTCAGAATTAAAATCATAAAAAATAATTGAATTTAAAAAGTCAAATTAAAAAGGCTAAAAAGGCAAAAAAATAAAAATTTTATGTTCTTAGTTTTACAAATTCTACTTTGATAAAACAGTGGGGTTTAGGGCAGAGGCTGAGAAGCTGTGCTGGCCTGTTTCAGTACTTCCCACAGCTAAAGAGGGTGGGCTATTTGGCTAACCTGCCAGGCTGCCAGGAGCCTTAAACAGGGCTACCATCTCAGGATGGGAAGGCTGTAGATTTCCTTTACCCATTCACTTCCTACCAAGTCTGCCGTTTCGAGTGGCAATACCACTGGGCCTGGGTGTTGAGGTTCCCAATCCAGGTGCCCCCTGGGCAGCAAAGCTGCTGGTTTACAAGGAGCTGCAAGCTAGCAACTCGCCTGCCCCACCTGAGCTGGGGGAAGGGAGCAGCTGTTTTTAACCAAGTTCAGCGGTTTTCATGAACAGGTGCTTCTCAATGTATTTACCTTGGGTTAATTTGTCAAGCCTTGACATGGTTATCTTTAACAATTTTGTCTAATTTAATAGTGGTTTTAAGGAGAGATTGCCATCACAAAGTCCACTTTTTTAAGCATCTGATCTGTCCTTAGGAAATGTAAAGACATAACTAAGAAGTAAACTTTGCATTTTAATTTTGCTCCAAGTCATGAATAACTAGGTTGGCCTCCGTACACTCTTTGAATTTGTGAATAAATGCTAGAAGCCACACTGTCTGACCGGCCATTGATAGGTGGTCCATGAACTGCTTCATGGCCACGTTAAAAAGAAACGGGGACCGATCTTCCCAGCGGCCTACTCACAGAATTCTTCAAACAGTCATCGTCCACGTCGAAGTTCGATGTGTCTGTGGGGCTGCTGACTTCTGGAATGTAAGGCGCTTCGCAGTTCTGAATGTTGTCCCAATCGATGCCGCTGAAAAACGGGTGTTTCTTAAAGTCTTCTATTCCATTTTGACCGAGTCGGTGTTCTCTGCTACAAATGAGCCTTCGAATGAGATCCTTGGCGTTCTCAGACACATCTGTCAGCTGAGGCGGAAACTGAAACCGCTCCTAAAGAGAGGGCGACAGGAACACATTCTGAATCACCGTCGAGCTAGCTGGACGTAGGTTAACATTTATTTTCTTGAAAATATATTTTTCTTTTCAAAATATCTGTAAGAGTACACTGAGCCAAAGAACAGATACTGAAGAAGATACAGAAATAAATGAGAAAAGAATGTCTGCCTAAACAATTTTAATTTCATATGTGACTAAGTCATACATGCACTGTAGTAAGAATAAATTAAATGCCAAAATACCTTAAACTGCTGTCGGAATCAAGAGAACTCATTAAAAATAGAATCTGCCCGGATATTTCAAGAGTATAAATGGTTCATATTAAAAAGTCACATACTAATGATTAATAATAATAAACATTTTTGAAAATGAAATATGTACTTGACACTATTCAAAGTGCTTTATTCATTTAACCCTCACAGCAACCCTCTAAGGTAAGTGCCACTACTCTCCTAATTTTTACCGAAGAGGAGACAAGGGCACAGAACTCAAGCAATTCGTGCGAGGCCAAACGCTAGTAAATGGAAGAGCTGGGATTGGAACTGAAACCGCCCGGACTCCAGCATCTGTGTTCCTAACAGACATGTTACAGCACAACGACTCTCTCTGAAATGCTTTACTGCTTTCTGCAACTCTGTCACTATTTACCAGAGTATCTCTGCAACCAGGGAGAAGAGCATGAATTCTATAAAACTGATTTATATGCATGTGAAGCAACGAACCACAAATGTGTCAGTAGAACCAAGTAAAAAGAATAGATTATCGATTTTGAGGATCCAAGATGGCTGCACAGGTAAACACCTTGCCGCAGCCGCACACAACAATTTCAATAAAATATAACTAAAATATAAAATGGACATTGCCCAGAACTACAGGAAAGTCGACTGACTGGAAATTCTACAACAAGAAGGAAAGAGAAGACCAGAAGGAAAATCAGAGGAGCTAGAAAAGCATAAGGTACAAAGACATGGTGTGCGGAGAGAACAGAGCCCGAGAGGAGGGGCAGCTGAGTGCCTGGCTGGCGTTCCCTAGCGGGAAGGAGATAAAAGCTCCAGACTGTGCCAAACCCCAGACCCAACAGCGCTGAACCCCAGTTCTAGGCCAGATCCTGGGGACCCAGGCTCATACGGAGGGAGCCTGGGCTGTGAGGCGGAATCCCAGGGGAGCGGCGAAAGGCAGAGCCCCCGGAGGCGCGCACACTGCGCACAGAGGACGGACTGTTGACTCTGCTGCCAGATTGCCTAGCGGGAAGAAGACAAAAGCTCTGGACAGTGCTGAGTCCCAGTTCCAACTGCTCTGAACCCCAGTTCTAGGCCAGACCCCGGGGTCCCAGGCTCATTCAGAGGGAGCTGAGCTGTAAGGCGGAACCTCAGGGGAGCGGCGAAAGGAGGTCCCGGAAGCGCTCACATTGCGCGCAGAGAACAGGCGGTTGGCTGTGCCACAGGATTGCCCTGGCGGGAAGGAGACAAAAGCTCCAGACTATTCTGAACCCCACTTCCAACTGAACTGAATCCCAGTTCTGGGCTCATTGGGGGAGAGACTAGACTGTTTGGTAGCAGGCGAAACTCGAGGGCACCTCACTCTCAGAGAGGTGCTTGCAGCGAGTACTGAAGGACTCTGAGAAACACTGAGACTCAGGAGCCGCATAGGGTGTGACTGACGGAAGCCAAGGCTGTAGGCTCCACCCTGAAAATCCACCCCATCCAAGCAGAACACAGAGACTTTTAAGGCTACCAACTCAGAGAAGCTGCGAAAATGCCAAGACAAGGAAATAGATCACAAACGAAAGAAATGGAGGACAAAAAGCAACTGGATATAGAGTTCAAAACCACGCTTATAAGGTTTTTCAAGAATTTCCTAGAAAAGCCGGGACCGGTTTGGCTCAGTGGATAGAGTGTCGACCTGGGGACTGAAAGGTCCCGGGTTCAATTCCGGTCAAGGGCATGTACCTTGGTTACGGGCGTAGGGGTGTGCAAGAGGCAGCTGATCGATGATTCTCTCTCGTCGATGTTTCTAACTCTCTATCCCTCTCTCTTCCTCTCTGTGAAAAATCAATAAAATATATTTAAAAAAAAAAAGAAAAAGAATTTCCTAGAAAAGATCGATAAGACCTATGAGGATATGAAAAGGGATCAACTAGAAATAATAAGGAATCAACAAGAAATAATAAGGGATCAACAAGAAATAAAGAATACATTGTCTGAAATAAAAAATATTACAGAGTCCTAAAAACAGAATGGAAGATTGCAAGAATCAAGTCAAAGATTTGGAACAGAAAGAGCCAGAAGACACTCCTCCGCAGAAGCAAGAAGGCAAGAGAATCCAGAAAGTTGAAGATAATGTAAGAAACCTCTGGGACAACTTCAAGCGAACCAACATCAGAATTATGGGGGTCCCAGAAGATGAGAGAGAGCAAGATATCAAAAACATACTGAAAGAAATAGTGACAGAAAACTTCCCCCACCTGGTGAAAGAATTAGACTTACAAGTCCAGGAAGCACACAGAACTCCAAACAAAAGGAATCCAAAGAGGACCACACCAAGACAAATCATAATTAAAATCCCAAGAGCAAAAGACAAAGAGAGAATATTAAAAGCAGCAAGAGCAAAGCAGATAGTTACCTATAAAGGAGCACCTATACGATTGTCAGCTGATTTCTCAACAGAAACCATGCAGGCCAGACGAGAATGGCAAGAAATATTCAAGGTGATGAATAGTAAGAAACTACAGCCAAAGATAATCTACCCAGCAAAGCTATTACTCAGAATCAAAGGCCAGATAAAGAGCTTCACTAATAATAATAATAAAAAAAAAAGCTAAAGGAGTTCATCACCACCAAACCAGAATTATATGAATTGCTGAAGGGGGTTCTTTCGGAAGAGAAAGTAAATAAAGATAAAAATTATGAACAACAAATACTTAACTATCAACAAGTGAATCTAAAAACCAAGGAAATTAAAAAAATCTGATGAACAATATTAACTGGTGAATATAATAGAATCAGAAGTATGGAAAGGGAGTGACCTGATGATTCTCAGGAAGGGGAGTGGAGGGGGGTGTGGGAAGAGACTGAACATAAACTGTGCACCTATGGATGAGGACAATGAGGGGTGGGGAAGGGGCGGTGGGTGGGGTGGGAACCTGGTGGAGGGGAGTAATGGGGGTGGTGGAAGAGGAACATTTGTAATAATATGAACAATAAAGATTTATTTTTAAAAAAAGGAATAGATTATCATGCTCCTTATGAAATACTCCTAATCACAATCCAAGTTTTTGCAATTGCTCACAATTTTCTGAGACCGATCAATCAAAACCTTCCTTTTTTTTTTTTTAATTATGAACAATCTATTTCCATTTAACTTGGTATTAAGGGGATTAAAGTTTTATTAATTCACCCCTGCTGTGCATCTGGATTATTTTCAATATTTTGTGATCATAAATAATACTAGAACAGGCATTTTGGCACATACACCTTTATTCTACTGAAGATTTCCTGAGGGCAGGTTACTGCAGCTGAAGTTGCTCAAAAGTTCCCAACATTTAATCAACCAAAGACCTTTTATCATAACCCATGAACACAGACAATAGGGTGGTGAAAGCCGGGGGCGGGGATTGGGGAGGGGGAGAGGGGAGGTGGGGACAGGCTGTAGTGGGTCAAGGGGCGGGGGAAGGGACATATGCAATACTTTCAACGATAAAGATTAAAAAAAAAAAAGTCCCAACTATTTTTAAAGACTCTAGATGCATACTTATAAACTTCTTGACAGAAAGGTTACATCAATTTATATTCCTATCAATAATGTCCATCTAGCCCAGCCAGCACAGCTCAGTGGTTGAGCTCCGACATATGAACCAGGAAGTCACAGTTCAATTCCTGGTCAGGTGACATGCAGGGTTGTGGACTTGATCCCCAGTAGGGGGCATGCAGGAGGCAGCCTATCAATGATTCTTTCTCATCATGGATGTTTCTATCTCTCTCTCCCTGTCCCTTCCTCTCTGAAATCAATAAAAATATAATTGACAAAATAATGTCCATCTCACTGGGTTATTTATAGTACGAAGTACAATTTTTCTTTTAATCTTTATCAAATTGACGGGGGGGGGGGAGAGGGGGAAGTATCTCATTCTTATTTTAATTTGCATTTCATTTATCACTGTAGTAGTAATGCTTAAAAATATCTTAAAGATTTTTGTTATTCTACTAGAAACCATTTAATTTCCTATTTATTACCTTCTTAATATCTACATTAAATTTATTATATATATACTATTTACATCAATTTGAAAAACAGCGAAGTATACTAACTTTGTGATTCATGATTTTTCCGTATGTCTCCACCAGAGATTCTGCGTAGAACGGTGTTTCTCCATAAAGCATCTCGTACATACAGACTCCCAGCGACCACCAGTCACACTCGGGGCCGTATCTGCCTTTCCCATCTTCCATGGCTTGGAGGATTTCGGGAGAGATGTAGTCTGGAGTGCCCACAGCCACGGAGGACTGCACCTGAGGAAATCCACACTGTTAGCAATCTGCTATACTGGGAACAAATCATTAAAAAGTACTACACATGTGCTTACATATCTCAAAACTTTAATTTTGTCATTACCTGAATTTAGTTTCCTTATACATATAATTTAAATTTTACATAATCTTCATACTAATAGTTCTTCAGATTTCATAATACTATCGAGCCTTTATTACAGCTGTTACTGAATTGACACTTTAGGGTAACAATACAGGATAAATACCACAGCCAGAAAATTCAATATTTAGTTTTAAACATTCTTTTTTAAAAAAAACAAAAACAAACTGGTATTTTTTTTTTGCATTGGAAGAAGTTCATAATTCATATATACTTATGTCTACCTGCCTTTGTTCCATCAGATATTGTTAGAATATTTTTATTATTGAAAATTTGCCTAACATGTATATATAAAAAAATGTTTACAATTAGTTACAGGGAAAAAACTGCTCAAAAAAAAACTTGACTGATACTTATGTGTAACCTGGAGATCATTTTAAATAACTTAATGGAAACCTAAGGAAATAAATTAAAATGATGTCCTGTAAACTACTTAATAATTTAAAAAATTATATAAAAGAAAAAATATACCCTTCAAAAAATAAAGTTCCAATAAGAAAAATAGTTGGACATATAATTAAGGAAAGTTTGATGTAACTTAGAAAGTGATAGCTAAAAATGATCCTGGAACGATTTTGTAAGAAGCTTTCAATTAAAAGAAAATTGGTTCCTTATATGATTTAAAAGAAAATACCAAAAAATGAACATCCTCAAGGCAGAATTCTGGTTAATATTCTGAATTTCCTGGACTAAATCACCAGCCTTAGTAATCATTAGAATAGACTATCTTTGGCAATACTGAGGTTAAGCAATTTGAAAACTCGTCTGTTCCAAACTCTTAAAAATACTAGATAAAATGTACAACCTTTTAAAGTAAACATATACATGAGCGTTTTAAAAAAGAACTCTTTGGGGCCAGTAATTAGGAAATGGCAGAGACCTGGGGGGATAAGCATTGAAGCGGGAGTGGGGTTGGGACTGTTGGTTTCCATAGTTACTGGATTTTAGCGTGAGGACAAAGGAAAGGCCTTGAGCACGCATGAGGTTTTAGTGAGAGTACCCATGTCATCTTTACCCTAGAGCGTATGCTGTAAACAAAAAGCTGAATTTCAAAACCCTGCCCCTCAGCAGAGAAAAGAAATCTACACCTTATGTCCCATGTCACATGTCCCATGTCCCACTGCCTGGCATTCTGGTTCCCGGAGCTTCTGTGGTCCACAAATTCTCAGCCAACAAACGGGCAAAACTACTGGCACCGTATCAGGTGCCCCGGGAGGCCTGGCATAACTACCTTAAAGCTCCTCGGGAGGCACATGCTCACAAGTGGTCACAGAATTCTCACTCCCAAAGGGAGCTGCCAACCCAATCACATAAACTCAACGAGTAAATATCCCCTTACAGGCAAAAGTCAGAAATCTGAACAATACAGCCTAAACTCCTGACAAGTATCAGTTCCACTTCCTGAACTATTTTTAAGTTTATGGCATTTTATATATTTATTTATTTATTTATTTATTTATTTATTTATTTATTTATTAAATATATTTTATTGATTTTTTACAGAGGAAGAGAAAGGGATAGAGAGTTAGAAACATCAATGAGAGAGAATCATCGATCAGCTGCCTCCTGCACACCCCCCACCAGGGATTTGCCCACAACCAAGGCACATGCTCTTGACAGGAACTGAACCTGGGACCTCTCAGTCTGCAGGCCGACGCTCTATCCATTGAGCCAAACCGGTTTCGGCTGGCATTTTATTTTTTAATCAAAAGCATAAGAACAAAATGATGAAAAAATCAAATCAAATAGAAGTTCTAGAAATAAAAGTCATTAAAATAACAAATACAGTAAATATGTGAAAGATATGAAAATATAAATAAAACCAAATACAGTGTTGTTAAAAACTACAGAGCACTAAAAGCTAAAAGATTAAAAACACTGAAGAATAAAGAGAGATTACCTAGCAAGGAATGAGAATGAAACTGACAGCTGAATTATTAATATTAATGTAGTCAGAAGAACATGGAACTGTTTCTTCAAAGTGATGAGACAAAATAATTGCAAAAATTATATTCCCTATCTATCTCCGTACATTGTGATACAAGAACGAGGGTTAGATGAAGACATTGCACACAGACTGAGTGCACTGCCACATGCAGACCCTTGTAGATGAACAGCAGCACTAAAGAACACACTTCCTAAAATAATTTAACCCAGATGGAAGCTGTGATACTAGAAACAATGGTGAACAAAGATATTAGCAAACTTTGTAACTTTTACAATTAGCAAAATTGTGAACAAGTTATTAGTAATGAGGAGGAAAAGGTGGAAATGAAGAGGAGGAGGAGGAGGAGGAGGAGGGGGTAGGGAGAGGAGGACAGGGAGGAAGCGGAGGAGCAGCAGAAGGAAAAGGAGGTGGCAGAGGAGGAGAATACTTGAACACTGAAAGGAGGTGAAACAAGAAGCTGTCACAAAGGGTGCAATTAGGATCGAAGTGGTCTAATATTTATTTTTTTACACACATCTTTATTTACTTTTTAATTATTATTTTTAATTGCGGTAAAATACTCATAAAACTTACCATCATAACCATTTCCAAGTGTACAGTTCAGTGGCATTAAGTATGTTTACACTGTTGTGCACTTATCGCCAACATCCATCTCTAGAACTGTTCATTGTTCAAAACTGAAACGGTACCCATTTTTAATTTATCTTTTAATGGATACTTGAGTTACTTACATTCCTTGGCTAACCTATATAATAAAAACCTAATATGCTAAGTGTCCAGTCAGCCATTCAACCAATTAAAGTGTAATATGCCAATGATATGCTAAAGCCGTTCAACTGCTCACTATGACATGCACTGACCACCAGAGGCAGACATTCAACTGGCCAACCACTCGCTATGACATGCACTGACCACCAGAGGCAGACATTCCAATTTCCTGAGGTCCCTCCCTGGCCTTCCAACCTCCTGCATCCCTTCCCAGCCCTGGTCCCTTGGTCTGGCCTGTGCCCTCTTGCAATCTGGGACCCTTTGGGAAATGTTGGTGAGCCGGTTTCGGCCCAATCCCACAGGCCAGGCCGAGGGACCCCACCCATGCACAAATTCGTGCACCGGCAATCTAGTTGTAAATAATGCTGCTACTGAACAGAGGGTACAAATATCTCTGAGTCCTTCCTTTCAATTTTATGGATTATGTACTCAGAAGTGAAATTACTGGATCATGTGGTAATTCTATTTTTGAAGAACTGCCGTACTGTTTCCAGAGAGATTATATAATAGAATTTTATATTCCCATCAACAGTGTACAAGGGTTCCAGTTTTTTACTTCTTTGTCAACACTTGTTACTGTCTGTTATTTTTCATGGTAGCCATTCTAATGGGTATGAGGTAGTATCTCATTGTAGTTTTCATCTACATTTCCATACGATTAGTGATGTTGAACATCTTTTCATGTATTGTTGGCCATTGGTTTATGTTCTAAGGTATATTCAAGTCCTTTGCTCATTTTGAATTGGATTACTTGTTATTGAATTATAGGTGTTCTTTCTATATTCTGGATATTAACACTCAACAGTACATGATTTGCAACTATTTTCTCCCATTCAAAGTTTCCTTTTCACTAAGATGACAGTCTTTTAATGCACAAAATTTTTACTGATGTCTATGTATCTCTTTTTTCTTTAGTTGCCTATTGTGTGGTATCACATCCAATAAATCAATGCCCAATCCAATGTGACAAGCTTCCACTAAGTATTTCCTTCCAATGTTAGTTTTAGCTCTAACATTCAGGTCTTTGATCCATTCTGAGCTTATTTTTGTATGGTATAAAATACACCAAGTTTCTTGTTTTAATTAGGAATATGGTAGGAAACATTAACACTAGATTTTAGGTAAATTATAGACTAAAAAAATTTAAGATAAACATTAAAATATTTGAAACAGAATCTATAACTCCAAAGAAGTAACAAAAAATAAAAGTAAAACTAAATTTGACCAAGCCAATAGAAGGCAGGAAAGAGGGAAAAACAAAACAAAACAAGCAAGTATGTAAACAAAAAAGCAAAACCTAGAATAACTAGCACAATAAAAGGTATAGTAGAAATAAATACACCTATAATCACAAAATTCATAGACGAAATTCACCTATTAAAAGATAGCACTATCACACTACATGCCAAATAAAACCAAAATCAACATTATTTTTTTAATCCTCACCGAGGATATGCTTTCTAAAATTTATTTTAGGGAGAGGATGGGAGAGGAAGAGGAAACATTGATATTAGAGAGAAACATTGATAAGAGAAACATTGAATGGTTGCCTCCCATACACGCCCTGACCTGGGATTGAACCTGCAACCTGGGTATGTGCCCTGACCGGTAACTGAACCCACAATCTTTGGGTATATGGGACAAAGATCCAACCAACATAGGTATCTGGCCAGAGCCAAGTAACTTTTTTTTTCTTTTAAATCAGCAATAATCTGTTTTAAAGGGATTCATCTAAACATAAGGACACTAGCTGAAACCGGTTTGACTCAGTGGTAGAGCGTCAGTCTGCGGACTGAAAGGTCCCAGTTCGATTCCAGTCAAGGGCATGTACATTGGTTGCGGGCACATCCCCAGTAGGGGGTGTGCAAGAGGCAGCTGGTCGATGTTTCTCTCTCACCGACGTTTCTAGCTCTCTATCCCTCTCTCCTCCTCTCTGTAAAAAAATCAATCAATAAATAAAATGTATTAAATTTCCATATTAAAAAAAATAAAATAAAAAAATAAACATAAGGACACTAAAATATAAAGAAGGGACAGAAAAGATACACAAGGTAGGTGTTAAACAAAATAAAGTTAAGAAAGTATCCTATATAATAAAAGAGAGACATGTAAATTGATCCTACCCCCGTTATGCTCACCAGCCAA